TAATGTTCTTTACTCCCTAAACTAATGTTTTTTTAGCTAATTATTTGTTATGTTCTTTTATATACATAACATGTTCTTTATATGTAATTGTAATGTTTTTTAGAATAATATATCTGTTACTTATTATATATTGTATGATATGTTCTATTTTATAAAACTATATGTTCTTTTGTTAATTCTGACATGTTCTTTAGTATTATATATGATGTTCTTTCTTATATTTTGTTATTTTATTGGCTAGATTCATGCACACAGCTGTTGACACAAGTCAAATTTCAAGTTTTGATTGGTGTTCTTACACAATACAAAGCTTGATTGACAGTTCTATTTACTATCAAGGAGATGTGAAGAGATACTTTCTTGGTCCACTACCATTCCTTATGGTAGTTTCCACTTTTATTTATTCTTTTATTTAAATATTTTGTATACAGATATATATGTGTTTATCGTACTGGGTTTTTTGTTAACAGGTTTGTTACTTTGATCGACTACAAAGGAAAAATATCATTATGCCTAGACAAATTCCTTTAATCAAAGAATGGGATAGTGATAAAATAGCAAAAAGAATTGCTATTGAGAGGAAGCTTGGCTTTGGGCTTGGCACACTGTTGGATAGAATTGAGATCCAAGATGGTTGTGGCCAGCCTTTAGCTATTGAAGGTGTAGTGGACCAACAACAGCAACCGCAGCAGCAACAACAGCAGCAGCAACAACAACAGCAGGAGGAACAACAGCAACAACAACAACAACAACAGCAGCAGCAACAAGTTCAGGAAGAACAACAATAACAACCTCAAGAACCTTCTAATTTACAAGTAAGCATTTTTATAATTAAATATATAAAGTATGTTCTTTAATGGTTAAATATTATGTTCTGTAATGGTTAAACTTGTGTTCTGTAATGGTTAGACTTATGTTCTTTTCCAACTAATTACATGTTATTTTGCTTTCTAATTAAGCATGTATTTTTTTTAATTTTCAGTGTTCTCTAATGACTATAGTTATGTTCTTTTTTATTCCTTACATGTTCTTTTATTTTCTAATTCAGCATGTGTTATAATTTTTAGTGTTCTTTCATGATTATACTTATGTACTTTTTTATTAATTACATGTTCTTTTTTTTCTGTACTTTGTTCTTTTGTAGGAATACACCCATTTGCTACGCCAAGCAACAGAAACAATTGCTTCTGGCTTTGTGAACCTCTCCAAAATTCTTAAGATGGGAGAGAGGTTCCATAATAGACCTATTGATGGGGATGCCACACTGTACAATGTAGCTGCAATGTGGTCCAGACTTTCTGGCATTAAATTGTCGGAAAATGTAATAAACAATGTACCTTCTCAAAGGGTTGAGGGGAGTTCCATCCTGAGCCAAGATACAGACTTCTTTGCATCTGACTGGTTTGGTGAGATGATTGACAATGTTGTCAACAATTCTGGAGTGGAAGGAATCACTGTGGAGAAAGAGAAAGAAGGAGGTGAAGAGGAGGATTCTCAACCCACTGAGTTGGAGCCATTGGTATTCAGTGTGGTTACCCCTTTGACTCCACCAACACAATATACAGGAGATCTAGACCTGAAACTGGCATTGAGCACAGGAAGTCCCCTCAATCTGGGAAACCAACAATTTTCTGACATCGGTGAATTTGATTCAGCATTCACTGACCAACAGTTGGAACCAAGTGTACCAGAGGAGATGTTAGATGGTCAAAAGACAGGGTAACTAATAATCTCAAAATGTGATTTCAGATTTGTGTGGTATATTTATTTAGATTTGAATGATTTAGAATACAAATCTGTAATATTTATGTATTATTTAGGTGAATGTTGTAATGTTCTTTATGATTTCCTAACTTGTTCTTTACAATTTCATATGTTGTTCTATGTGTTGTCATATAATATTCTATAAAGTGTAATGTTCTGTTTGATTTTATATAATGTTCTCTGAGATTTTATGTGATGTTCTTTGATTTTTTATTTGATGTTCTTTATGGTATCATATCATTTAATGTATGTTTTTTTTTTTTTATTAATGATGTATAATATAACTACCTTTGAGTGTAAAAAGGATGCCAGATGAAAACAAGGATCAAGGTAAATTTGAGAAGGTGGTAGAAGAAAATGTAGCTGAAAATCAAAGGTATATACATATATACATAGACTTTATAATTATTATGGGTTATTGTTGTTACTTCATAAATATTTTTTGCTTACAATTATTGATTAATACAGTGATGCAACCGAAAAAGAGATGGTATATGTTATAGCAAAAAGACAGAAAGGAAAGGAGGAAAATAAGGAAAAAAGGTATATATGTTCTTTTATAAAAACTGTATGTTCTTTACGTTTTGTTCTTTGTTCTTTTTATAAAAAATTTATAAAAAAATCTATAAAAGATAATTATTATACTGAATAGTATGATTAATTATATATGTGTGCCTTTTTAGTGATACAACTACAGAAAAGGAAGATTGCAAAAAAAAAAAAAAAAAAACAGAAAGGAAAGGAGAAAGTGGAAGAACAAAGGTATATGTTCTTTTTTTTAGAAATATATGTTCTTTTTAAAAGTATTGTTTGTTATTTCAAATGATATGTATGTTCTTTTACATAAAATTTTATTTGCAGTGTTGGTCCAACACCTACAAAGAGAGCTAGGAAGTTGGGAAAGGTGTACATGTCTCCTTTCCTAGTGCAATATTCTCATTTGATAGAGGGCACAGATGAGTTCAAAGAAGCTATACAGGAATATGCTTTTTCAGATTTACTTGATGAAGAGTATGATTTTATTCCTTGTACTAAACTATGCTTTTTCATATGAAATTGATGAAAAATAAGCTTTATTACCCTTATTTAATATTTCTATATTTTTTTCTTTTTATATTTTTTTTTCTTTTTATGTAGTGAGTTATTTTATGACGATGGATTTGCACATTTGTCAAGAAAATTGATCAAAACAATGGGCGACAATGTATACATCTACAGCGATATAGTTGACGCTTTTTGTCTCATACTTAATGCAAAAAATTCTGCTGATGACAAAAAGAGGATTTTCTTCCCAAATGCAGCCATTGTAAGTGTAATTCAATTGGTTTTGATCCCTATTTTTTTTTTAGGATATATTATTAATTTGATTCTAATCCTTTTGTTTTTATAAAACATAGAACTTGTTATGCGTGAACGATGCGTATGTTGATGATAGTCAAGAAGCTACATATGGTATCAAATATGTTAAATTCGAAGAGACAATCAGATATTGGCTAATTGATTGCAATATAGAATCAGTTAAAGGATATCAGCTGGTAAGTCATATAATGTTCTTTTATTTTAAAGTAGTGTTCTTCTGAATTTAGTATATGTTCTTTAATTTTTAAGTAGTGTTCTTCTGATTTTAGTATATTTTCTTTTCATGGATTAGTTACACATTTTCTGTGACTTCCTTCACTATGTTCTTTTTATTTCTTTGATTGTTCTTTTATATACGTGTGTTGTTCTTTCATGATTATATCATGTTCTTTATAGTATATTCAATTTTTTTTTTAAAGTACATGTTTTTTTATCTGCCTGTTTCAGTTGTTTTTCCCTGTGTATGCGCACGACCACTTTTATGTGATGGTCATAAATACAAAATCAAAGGCTGTGGAAATTTTGGATAACAGACCACTTGTAGAGGGTGTTCCTTTTTCAGAAAAGTACCATGACTATCCAGAGAAGTTGGTAAGGATGTTATTTAACTTTTATAAATAATGTATATTTTTAATTAAAATATATAGTGTTCTTTTTGTCTAACTTTTATATTCTTTCGTTGTGTATGGTAGAGGCATGCCTTCTCAATGTACCTGAAACAACATGGGATGAAGTTATGGGAAAAAGTCCTCAACTATGAAATAAAATTGGTAGACATGCCATGGAGAACATTGGACAACAATGTTGATTGCGGAATATACACAATGCGCCACATGGAGACATACTTCGGGAAGCGTAAATGGAATTGTGGCTTGAGGGCTGATAATGTAATATTATCATATTTTGCATTTTTTTTATTTAAGAAAATAACAAACATTAATGTTAATCTTTTGTTTTTTTTTTCTTTTTTGTGGGTGAACAGTTTGATGCATTGAAGGCACTTAGAATGCAGTACGCATATGAGATTCTTGTGGATCAAGTGAATAAGCGCCATGCAGATTTTTGCATGAAGGCCAAGAAATATTTCAAGGAAATTAGGAATGATTAGAGACACTTGTGTTAGTTTTTGAACAAGTATGTCTTTTTGAAAATTTGGTGGATGTTGAACAATTAGCACTGTTTATTTTTTGTATAGTTGGGGCTAATAAACTTTGGAAGCATATTGATTTGGAAGAAAGAATAGAATGAACATGTACAATGTTCTTAATACAACATGTGTTCTTCTGATTTTATGCAATGTTCTTTTGATTACAAACAATGTTCTTTTATTAACATATAATGTTCTATTGATTACATATAATGTTCTTTTAAAAACATCTGATGTTCTTTTTGTTCAGTGAAATTTTATTTCTAGTTATTTTGCATCATATGTCTTATAAACTAACACAAAATATGTCTTTTTATAGGCCACAGTAACCACCATTAATATGAAAAATATGTCTTGTTAAAAAAAAAACTGAAATAGAGTGTTCTAATTTATAAGATCTTATTAAAAAAAAAAATTAAAAAATATAAGGACAAATATGAAATAAAAAAAATTGTTAACGTAGACTAAATAGTACATACCATTTATAATTCTCTAATATTCACTCCAAAATAGTCATCAGGCTCAAAAAACTCCAAAGATCTTCCAAATTCGTTGGAATGTGCCAGAACATTTCCATCAGGTACAGGAAGGAAATCCTTCCAAAAAAAAAAATTATTTAAGTAAAAGAACAATATGTATAAAATGAAAGAACAAGTTGTAACCATAAAAGAATGTAATATAATATAATTAAGAACAATATATACCTTAATCGTAGTCTGTGCTTTTTGTTTCATCTTTGAAACACCCTTTGCGCTTTTCTTTCCCATGACTTTATCTTTTGACCTTTGAGCTTGTTGGAAACCTTTTCCTGTGTGCTTTTCCACCTAGTATTCTTTTGACCCTTTTTCCTTTTTTTGATAGGATCCTTGACATCTACCTGAACTGTGTGTTCTTTAACAATGCCTCCATGTTCTCTTTCAAAACCTCCATGTTCTTTTTCAAGTCCTCCATGTTCTTCAGCCAATTGCTCAAATATTACTGCTGGTTCTAATAGACTGCCATCACCTTTTTCTGGAGTAACATCTTGTTCATTCGTTTTTGATAACTCAGGTGGCACATCTTTATCTTCTCCCATCAAGAGATTAATCTTAGCAGTGCATTCTTCAATTGCTTCCTCAATGACAGCTCGAGCACTCAAGTCATTTTGTGCTCGATCTACAAGTGTGATAAATGTACAAATATGATACAATCTCCATACACTACAAGGAGTGACACCCATTTCAGCAACATCATTATCATCAACTCTAGTGCACATAGCAGCTTTTGTCCATCTCTTGCAAATGTATCTCTTTGGGATATAAGTAATGTTGTTTAAGTGTAAGACACGAAGTGAGTGCTTTCACAACAAACCTACCTCACCAAAATATTTGCAAGTACAATCAACTGTAACTGTTGATTCATCAAATGCAACAGTATGCATGATCAAATCCTTTTTTGGATGCCCAACATGATATTCATAAAGTGGAGGTTGAAATCCTATTACCTTTGTCGTGCAGGGAACACCATTGACAAAATTGTCTTCAAAATGTAAATAGATTTGAATAGTATAAATCTTCCTTGCATGCTCCAACAATCCAATATCTGCCCAAACTAAATGACGATTTCCAGTCATACTATCATAATCATTACTACCTTCTCTACTCCTCCACTCATCAACAACCTCAATAAAAGTAGTGTAGAAATCACATAGACCATGAGTGGCATGTAGTCGACGGGAAACTGATTTGTTAGTAGTTTCACTCCTCTGAGATGACATAACACCGCCACTAAAATAGTCTTTGGAATATGCAGGACACCACATCTCTTTGATATTATACAGATTTTGCAGCCATTTATTATCTGTGCATTTGTACGTTTTCTGCATGCTGTAAAATAAAAGAACATCATACTAAGTGAAAAGAATGTCAAATATAATAGAAAAGAACATCTGTATACTTAATTCAGCACATTAAGTTCACTTCAGAAGAACATCAAATATATGATAAAAGAACATTAAACGAACAACACAAGGAACATTATTTTAAGTAAAAAGAATGTCACATGTAATAAAAAAGAACATCTCTCTATATTAATCCAGCATATTGGGTGTACTTGAGAAGTACATCAAATAAATTACAAAAGAACATTAAACATGAAAATAAAGAACATCGTCTAGCAACTTAAAGAACATTGAATCAGTAAAATATTTAAATAACATAATTTTAAAATTATTAATTCATAGCGTTACCTTGACCAATAGTGCTCGAATTCTTGAATAGTATCGGTATACTTCAAAACAATATCAAACAAATCATTAAAACCTTCCTTTGCTCTAAGTCCTTTGATATTTTTCTTTGCATTCTCCCCAATATGCCACGTACATAGTCGATGTCTGGAATTTGGGAAGACAACCTTAATTTCTTTGGCCATTGCTTGAGCTTGGTCAGTCATTATTGTCACAGGATGTTTGCCACCCATGGATTTCAAAAAAGTATTGAACAACCACTCAAAAGATTCCCATTTTTCATTGATCAAGAAGCCAATACCAAACATGACATTATTGTTATGATGATTCATACCAACAAAAGGTCCACAAATCATACCATATTTGTTTGTACGGTACGTTGTATCATGGACTAATAAATCACCAAAAGCATCATAATCTACCTTCATTCTATTATCACGAAAGAAGAAAGATTGCAAAGGACCTTTTTCATCAACATCAAAGTCATAAAAAAAGTCATACTCACTAGATTTCCTCTCCTTAAAATAGCTAAGCAAGCGCTTTGCATCACAACCGTCAAACATCATTTTCTTATGTTGGGATAAAGCACCATACGCATCCCTACAAAGAAATGAAAGATTTGCCTCTCCACCAGCTTGATGTTTTAAAACACGCACTGCATCAGCAACAGGTATACTACTCTCAGTCAAGCTACTCATCATCACAACTTGTTCATTAGTAACCTGTGTACATACAAAAAAACACATTGTTTCAAAAAAAAGAACATCATGTATTTGTTAAAGAACATTTATTGCGCATTTAAGAACATGATTTAAATTAATTTTAAAAATTGTACCATTACCTTCCTATGAGACCTAATCAAATGTCTCTTTGAAACAGCAACCCTACTATGATTATGAACCATAGTGTGATTGACCAGGACATACAAACCAGACACCTTATCAATATCAAATTGTATATGAGCCTTGCAACCTGTGCGGAAATTCCTCTTTTGGTAAACTTTTGATTGTTCACCATGCTTCTTCTCTTGCTTAAAGCCAGCAAAAGAACACACCAAAAAGCCTTGCCTAGGTGTCCTATCTTTGTCATCTCTACGATTCAACCTATCTTTACGTATACCAAAACCATGTTTAAATGCATAACTATTATACAAATCATAAGCCTCTTCATCAGACTTAACTTTTCTGTCAAATAATTCTGATTCAGTTGCCTCGGTAAAACCTGAAATAGGATATCAAAATACATATATATTAAGCTGATGTTCTTACATAATAACATGATGTTCTTTTAAAGGTATAAAATGTTATTTAATATATTTGTAATGTTCTTTATTAAATGCACATTGATAACGACACATTAATTACAGAAAATACAAAACAGAGTACAACAAAAGTACACGACTCTTTCAGGAAAGTACATTCCATTACAATAAAAGTATATAAAGAGTACTACAAAGTACCTATATAATTAACAATTGCACATGCACTAATAAATAAAATCAACATTGATTTCAAATTACATATAATAACAAATAAAAAAGAACATATGTAAATAATAAAAGAACTTCATCTTCAACCTCATGAAAATCACTGTGAAATTAAAAATATAAAGTAATTCGATAATAAAATTAAAATTATTAGTAATAACTAAATCTAATAATCAAAATTAATGATTAACAAATGAAAAATATAATGAATTAAACAATTCACCTTCATTGAGGTTTACGATACCCTCGACTTCACCTTCATCGTTGATATCATAATCATTTGCATCATCGACAAATCTAGCATTAGAATCATGGCGAAATTCAGATTGATAAACCATTATTAACTTCTTCTACAATGAATTCAAATGATTGATCCTCAAAATTTTCTCTGTAATTCTCTCTCTGTAATTTTCTCTCACTAAAAAGTTTGAAATCTCTATGATTTTCCCTCTCTAAATCTTTTTTGAAAATATCAGTTAACAAAAATTAGCAAAAACTGAAAGCTATAAAATCGGCAACAATTTAGCAAAATTCACGTGATGTTAAACTGTCTCCTTTTTTTTTTTTTAAATTCCCGTAATTAGAAATTAATGGAATTAATCCTGCCAACTCAGCAGGTGTACCATGAGCATGGTACACCCTTGTGTACTATCAAACTTTCAGATTATTTACCGTTCACTTTGAATTTAGAGATCAACAAAATAGTCCAACCATCTTGTAAAAAAAAAATAAAAATAAAAAATTCCAATCACATATTTATTTGGTGAACATGACGATCACTTTTTTTTTTAAAATATTATTGCGCAACTTTTAATAATTACGATAGTACCTTGAATGGTTGTGGTGGTACATTCTTATCATCCCGTGTTATTATTTATATGACATTAGGTCATTAGTCATAGCCTACCACTGGCCGTGGTAATAGGTGGCGCTGCCGCCTTGGACAGTTGGACTTGGTGGTTGGAACTTGAACTAATCACATATCAAACTCCAAGCAAATGCCTACAAAAAATGAAATACCCCATCACAAACTAAACCAAAACAAATGCAGGGGACATGAGCTTTGTACGTAGGGTTTTAGCTTCAACTAGAAAGGGTTTATCTTTAACTTCTCAAATTCAAATCAATCCCCCTAAATCTCAACTGCCCTTTTGCAATTACCACTCAATTCCCAACAATTTACTGCAAAAATTGTTAAAAGAACCAAAATCACGCATCAAAATCATTCTTGATTCTGAAGAAAATTCGACTCTCAAAAGCATTGGTTTTTCCTGGGATGCTCTTCTTTCTGCTATCAATTCTTCTTCTACATCCAAGGCAAACCTGGTAAATTCATCAAACCCAGTATATTATTTGAATTAATATGTGATTGGATGCTTGATATGTTTAGTATCCATTGATTTATGGGAATTAAGCCTTGTGAATTTGGATATTAAGAAATAGATAATGATATCACTAGTTTTCTTCTATTTGGGGTTTGATTAATTTATGTTGTACTGTATATGCTTTTACTAGTTAGTCACTCTACTATGAAATGTTGTTAGTTTACAGATACAGACTTGTGTTAGTATTCTTATATTTGTGAAAAAACTGGGAATTGTATTTGGTACTTTAGATTTCTAGTACTTTTGGCTTGTATTTATGGCTAGTTATTATTAACCAGGCTTTGGAGTGGAGATTAGAGAAACTGCTGAAGCACAATGAAAGAAATCATGAGTTGTTTGCTGAACTAATTTCTCATTGTGAGGAAACACGAAATCTCGAGTTAGCTATGCGTACATTTATGGCAATGGAGTCTGTTGGGTTAAAACCAACATCTGATATCTTTAACTCGTTGATTTTGGTTTCGTTGCGTGTGGGAAATGAAATGACTGCGCTTGGCTTGTTTGAGGTTATGGAGAGGTCAGAAGACTATAAACCAGATTCTAAAACTTATAATGCTTTCGTTTCGATGTATGCTAAGTCTGGTAATGTTAAGGCTATGCAAGCATGGGCCTCAGCTAAGAGAGTTGCTGGTATTCCTGCTGATTTGCAGCTGTATGAATTTCTAATTTCCGGCTGTGTTAAAGCAAAAAGATATGATACAGCCGAAAATTTTTATGAAGAAATGATATCATCAGGATTTGTACCTAATATATACATTTTGGACAGAATAATTGATGGTTTGTGTGAACAGCAGGATATTGGTAGAGCTAAAGAGTTTTTGCTCAGCATTATTGATAATGGTTGGGCAATTAGTCCACATATAGCAGACAGACTTGCACATCTGTGTTCTGAACTAGGAAAAATTGAGGGAATTGAAGAGCTTCTCCAAATCTTAACTGCATCAAAGGAAAGTCCAGAAGTTCTTTCGAGAGTGCATTGTGGAATCATAGGTATGCATGCAAGGGCAGATAGATTAGATGATATGGAATATGCCGTTGGAAGAATGTTGAAACAAGGGTCAACATTCAAATCAGCTGATGATATCAAGGTGATCATCCGATCTTACTTTAGGCGAGCAGCATATGATAGGCTCGAGTTATTTTTGGAGCATATAAAGGGCTCATGCCAGTTCACAAAATCAACATATGATTTATTGGTCACTGGTTATAGTGAAGCTGGGTTATCCGAACAACTGGGCATGCTGCTGAAGGAATTGGGTCTTTGTGAAACTTCATGAGTCCTGCATTAGTGCATTCATCTCATTTCCCAGCAGAAATTGTGCTGGGGGCTTCAAGGTTAAATCAGAGACCTGGCCATGGAACGTCTGTTACTCTGTTAATTATTAATTACCAAAAGTATTTCCACTTCTGAGGTTATTGACTCAATTCAGCAGAATTCAAACTAACAGCATATGATCTGTTTCCATTTTCTGAAGTCCTTTTCCATTTGTTTGTGAAAGGCTTGGTTTCACCTTTCAGATTTCAATCAAAGCTGTTATTTGATGCTGAGGTTGATAAGGCTGAAAAGCTGCTAGCTTAAGCAACTGTAATGTTGAAAGCCTAATCTGCTACATACAATTTGGTAAGTGGCAGTGTTTTCTGTGCTTAAAGTTTATATTTAAATTGAATCCTTCATTTTTCACACTTCTTTTTTTCACTAATGAGTTAATCATTCTTAGTTACTGATTGGCATGTAAGAAACCATTTGATAGTTTGAAATTTTGAATTGACAAATTGTAACATGTGTATACTGCTTTTACAATACGAGGCTGCTTCTAGTTTCAAATAGGTGAATCTTCATTTGAGTTCGTAGTATATGTTTTTATTTCTTGGAATTAGAATATAAACCTGATGCAAAGGAGTGACAGTAATCACAGGGTTGCCACCTTGGAGATTAAGAATTCAGGATAAACACTGAACAGGGAGGGCACTCTTGACTCTTGAACACCCTCACCCAAATTTATCCTCCAAATATCATCCTATTCGTCTGTAGAAGTACTCATGTGCACAAATTTTAAAGACTTAGAGAAACACCCATTTGCATAAACATTAAGGACTCCTAGAGAAGTGCCCATGTTTGGACTCCAGAGTCCATCACCTGTGTATGGTATATCTTTCCTCTTGCAATCACAAATCTTATTTTGTAAGAGCATTGATTTAGAATGCAACGGCTGCTGCAAGTGCTGCTTTGACATACCAAGAAAATATTGGTGAGTGCAACGTTGCAAGGGTTTGATATGTGTTTCTTTGATGATAATGAAACGTTTATGACCTAATTCCCCCACCCTAGACCGTCAAAGCCTAGACTTAAAAAGTAAGGAGAGAAAAGAACATTCTTCTCCCAAAAGATCCTAGCAAGGATAGCTAGATGAACTAATAGGATGAACCTATGTCAAAGGACATCCAAGAAAAATATGTTTGCATCACCCTTTCTTGGCCACTTGGGCTGGGCCATTTATGCTGTCTAGCCCTATAGCGTCTGTACTGAAAGCTACTCCATCTTTGTCATTCTAGTTTTCTTGGTCCCGCTTCAAGGGATGATAATGGAAAATGACAGCCTTTGTGCAGGGCATTAGACACCCAATATGATGGTACTTGCTCCTAAGAAACCTTCGAATCCCTTTCTAGCCTTTTTGGGCTGTAAGTGGGATAAAGGTATATTTAGTTGGCTGACCACTTGTTGAACATATAAGACAAACACAGAACAATCACAAGAAAAAGAAATTACTCTTTTCGTCTCTAAATATCTAAAATTAGCACCTAAGATAATTTATACTGTGGATTTTTATTATTTTGGTAAAGGAGAGTTGATGAAAAGGTTATTGCGACCACTTGACCATAGATAGAATGAAGCATTCTTTTAAGTGACACCCTAAAAATGATAGTGTAAACATTTAGAGTTGGAGGGAGCACGAGCACCACTGTGGAAACAGTTTCTTCTTGACCATACTGTAGTAATTTTCAGGTTTTCTTAACAACACCCCCTGATAATTAAAGATTATGCCACATTTGTTGAGAGGTAAGTCTTTTCCAAATTTTACTACTCCGGTACTTCGTAATTTTGACCTTTTGTCTCCTCATATCCATTTGAGGATATCAGATAGACTACATTAGTGTACGGTGGCGGAGGCGTAAATTTTACACAGTACAGTATGGTTATTATACAGTATGTAAGCTTTTAAAATATGATCCTCAATCAAATACTACTATGACTTTTGAAGTACTCGTATTCTAGGAACAATGGAAGTAGCATATATAATTTCTAATTTTATTAAAATGAAAAGGCAGGTGCCTAACAATCATATATTTATATTATTTTTCATCTATATAATACTGCATTTTTTATTTTATTTTTAAATCAGGATGCAATATGTTGTTTCTGAGATTAGGTAGAAATTTATTTCTATAAAGCACAAAAGACAGAAGGTAAAGTTCATAGAACTTTTAGACCATAATAGGGAAATTCCTGCTCCAGAAGAAGCCATATGCTTAACCTAATGAATATAGAAATTTAAAAATGGTGAATAATGAAACAACTTAACACTTTGTCCTAAAGTAATGTGTTTAATTTTTCTTGTAGTGGTGCTCCTAATAATAATGGGTGCATGTGAGTGTTGTAGGTCCAGATTATTTTACCTTTTTGCTGACCACAAAAAATTATTGAATATATGCAGTGCTACCTAAAGCTTGTAAAGTACTCACCCCATGCTTCATCCCACTCAGGATAATGTGGTAATTACCTTGGTTCTCCCACCATCTTTCTTGTTATTGCACTTTCTTGCACTGGCTACGACCATTGCTCTCTTCGGAATTAATTGTCACGTACTCTCGTACTCTATTGATATTCGGCAAAAACATCACCTTTCTCAGTACATTGATAATTTACTACTCCGTATTGAGTTTTGTGATACCTCGCTTTTGATTTTGAGAAGTTGGGACAATGTGATAATTTGACAACTAAGTATTTATGATCATTATTATTCATAGCTCAACAACCTGAATCCTTCAAGATCAGGAATTAACAACATAATGCAGTCTTCATTACTGTTAAGAATTGAAGAAAAAAAAAAAAAGCGGCCTTTATGATCCCAAGTACAAGTTATTACCTTGTTAATTCATGAATGTTTATGAATAACATAAAGATCTGAAATCATGAAATTTAATTAATGCATGATTAGACTTGAAGCACCTCAACTAATTTGGTAATGGACTAATTATTACTCCTTATCTTGTGAAATATTAAACCACTCATTAACCTAATCTCACAGGATAAATTTTTTTTTTTTTTTTTTTTTGCACCCTATCAAAAAAGTGTGGTCCCACACAAATGTCCAATTTTCAATCACAAAGATTAAGGACAAACATAACATACTATACTAGCCATAGGAGTATCAAAGCTCGTCAATCACGGGCTACCTTGACAACTTTTGTTACATTTTCCATACACTCTCAAAAGGTTAACTGACAGAGAATTTAGTTAGTAGTAGTTGCTCTACTCACTGTCATTTCTTCAACAACAAAGCATGATACTTCCTGCTTAATCTAACCAACTCTTACAACATTATCTTTGTCCCTTGAGCCATGTCTTTTCCAGCACCGGCTGCTTCCCCGGAGATCGATGTTGGAGATCCGACATCGCTCCCTGAACTACTACCACCGTCGCCAGTAACTGATGAAGTTACCCCTCCTCCTGCACCATCTGTCACATTACCAATATCAGTACCGTCTTCACCACCAGTAGTATCACCCCCACTACCAGCAGTAGTTGTAGGAGGAACTACTCCTCCTGCACCTTCTCCTGTTCTTTCTCCTCTTCCTACTCCTACATTACTTCCGACGTCTCAACCTCAACCACAACCACAACCATCGCAGCCTCAACCACAACCACAACCACAACCGCAGCCACAACAACCTGTTTCTTCACCGCCACAAATACCTACAAACATCCCACCACCAGTAAGAACAACCCCACCAAATTTTATTTCTCCTACACCAAGTAAACCAATTAAAATAAAACCACCACAAAAAGAAACACCACCCAATAAAGAAACTTCACCACCAACTATCATTTCTCCTCCACTTAGTAAACAACCTAACATTAAACCATTACCACCTACTAGTGATCCAACTGTTACTCCCTCACCTCCATCAACACCAGCATCTTCCAGGCTACCAGTAATCCGGCCTGCAGCTCAACCAACCCCATCTAAACCAGGCTCATTAAGACACCAAGCCACTCCTACAACACCAAGACCACAATCACCTCTTCCTGCTTCTGCTGTCCTTCCTTCCTCACCACCTGTTGCGCTACCAGTCCCACAGACGCCAGGTGGTGGCGCATGGATTCCCTTTTCATCAGAATCTCCTGCTCCACTTCCTTTACTTCCTAGCCCGCCTGGAACATTAAGCTCCTCTGAAGCTCCCCTGCATGATCATGGTAGCGACAATGGAGGGTTAATATCATCATCATCAAGTGATCATCAGAACATTCAGGCTGCTGCTGTTGAACAAAAAGGGGTCTAATAATGGGGCTAGTGGATTTGCTGTGGGATTGGCTGTTGGTGGGATTTTGCTTCTACTTCTTGGAATTGTCTTTGGCATTCTGTTTGTCTTTTGTAAGAGGAGAGAAAAGAAGTTTGGTGATAATGGATCTGGAAGAAAACATGCAACTTCATTCACTGGATATGAAGGTAAATCAGTTTGATTTTTCCTCTCAATAAAAGTATATAACATACAAAATTCTTTAAAACAACAATGTCAAAACCTTAATCCTAGAAGGATGGGGTCAGCTGCATGATTCAAAATTGAGGCTTTGATTTTAGATATTGAATTTATCTTAGATTTATATTTCACTTAAGGATGATTGGATAAGATATAAAATCTTAATCATACATATTTGCTGCATTATTTTCAATGTGATGGTCCCCTTTTAAATGAGTTACAAAAGTTTCTATCTTAATAACATATTGCATCATTAAGTATTGGAATTCCTCAAGTATGTAATACTAATCTTGATTTGTACTCTAGTATGATTCAATATTTGAAGCATCTATGCTAACATTTTCTTTTTCTTAATTTGATTGATTGATTAGAGAAAGGTTCATTACCCCTGTACGCAAAGAAGGATCCTGATAACACTCAAGGGCTCCAAAGTGTGATCAATGTAAGTACTCCTAAGGGGCCAATCATGGATACCAATGGCAACTCTCCGGTGACTGGGGGAGTGGGCACGCCCTATCAAGTGGGACTTTCACGTACGAAGAGTTATTGAGGGCCACCAATGGCTTTTCAGAGCAGAATTTGCTTGGACAAGGCGGTTTTGGGTACGTGTTCAAAGGGGTCCTTCCGAATGGGAAGGAAGTTGCAGTGAAACAGCTGAAGATAGGAGGGCATCAAGGAGAAAGAGAGTTTAGAGCTGAAGTTGAAACAATTAGCCAAGTTCATCATAAGCATCTTGTTTCCTTAGTTGGGTATTGCATTTCTGGTTCTGAACGATTGCTTATTTACGAGTTTGTGCCCAACAATACATTGGAATTCCACTTACATGGTAAGTTGATCAATCACTTTTTACCTCATTCTTTTAGCATGAAATTTCAAGTAGTTCATTGTACATTTGAACACATAATCTTGTCTAGTATAATTAAAATATGACTAAAATTGCAGGAGAAGGGCAACCTGTTATGGATTGGCCTACTAGATTGAAGATTGCAATAGGCTCTGCAAAAGGATTAGCATATCTACATGAAGATTGTGAGTATTCCTTTGCCTAATAGATTCACAAGTAGTGCCTTTTAATTTCACTTACTTTTGTTAATGTGGAATATATACAATTTGTTGCAGGTAGTCCTTCTATCATTCATCGGGATATAAAAGCTGCAAATATCCTCCTTGACTTTAACTGCGAGGCAAAGGTGAGATTTTTTCCTGTATTCGCCACTATAAATTTCTGACATTCTATGTCTGTGTGACAGTATGAATCAAAAAAATATTCATCCTATGCTTTCATGCTGAGCTTAAGGTCTTTTCTTCAGGTTTCTGACTTTGGACTGGCAAAAATTTTCTCAAGTAGTAATCCTTCTGTTACCCACATGACAACTCGAGTTGTAGGAACTTTTGGGTAAGCATTCTTTACAGGATTAAACATACATGTGCTGATATCCTAGAGCCTGAGTTGAGCTCAAGCAGTAAACATTTGCTTTCTTTTCAAACAGCATTCAGCTCTCAGGATAAATGTAAATCATTTAACTTTTTCATCTTCTTAATTTTCTATCATGCATAATTGCAGATATTTAGCTCCTGAATATGCATCAAGCGGTAAAGTTACTGATAAATCAGACATATATTCATATGGGGTTATGCTCCTTGAGCTTATCACTGGCCGTCCACCCATCAGCAATTTTGGAACTGCTGCATGTGGAAGTTTGGTTAATTGGGTAATTCTCTTTTCGAATTCTACCATGTGCTTCCCTTATACTGCAAAGTTTTATGGTGGAAACAGAGAATTTTGTTTATTGATGCTACAAAATTTGATATATAATATAGGCTCGGCCCCTATTGGCACAAGCTATTGGAGATGGGAAATTTGATACTTTAGCTGATCCAAAATTACAAGATAATTATGATGTTGATGAAATGTCTAGTATGGTGGCCTGTGCTGCTGCATGTGTTCGTCTTTCTTCTTGGCGTAGGCCAAGAATGAGCCAGGTAAATCTGATCCCAATCAATCCATCACAGTCTTGAAGACCTAAGTGGAATTTTGAAAATGAAGAGCTTTTTAATTGTAACTTTTGATAGAGCTCTCACATTCGGGTCTATGCACACACATTGGCATAACCAAACCTTCTCAAAAAAAGTTCTCGAATTCTGATCATGAACTGTATACAAATGCAGGTGGTACGTTCCTTGGAGGGAAACCTTTCAGCATTTGAGCTTGATGATGGAATTAGACCAGGACAAAGCTCAATGCATTTCCCCTACGAAAGCTTAGATTTTGATGCACGAAACTACATGGAGGATATGAAGAAAATGGCCTTGACTAGCAATACAACCACTCCTAGTAGATATAGCGAGAACACTAGTGAATATGGCCTGCTCCCTTCTCCCTCAAGCACTGACACTAGCCAACTCAATTACTCAAGAGGCTGATGTCTTGGACTATATGCTAACTACGTAAATATTGGAGAAGCGCAAGAAAAAGAGAATGGGAAGCTAAAAGGATAAGAAAACGCGGATAATATCCAAATTCTGTAGGAATTTCTCATTCAACTTATTAGAAATTGATAGAAATTTCCATTTTATACTTTGTTTGTTTATGGGGAGAAAAAGTTTGTTTTCTGTGAAGATTAGGATTAGTTGGATTTTCAAGTACATATTCACATAAATGAGTTATTCTTAGGGGTGCTACATGAACAAATATTGAAGTGAAAGTGATTATAATTTTGTAGATTAAACATGAAGTTACAAGTTCTGGTTTGTTTTGCATTTTTGTTGCCAGAATTGCAGCAATTCTTGATGATTCCTTTTCCCTATTTCTGTTTTCCCCTTATTATCGGCTTCCTGACAATCTTCCGTAATTACATAAATAACTTAGCTGTGATTTCCCCCTTCTTGTGCTGGATGGTGCTTTAACAACAGCTAAGCTTTGAAGTACAGCAAAGTTCTGTTGGATTAATTTAAGCATAACTAAGCTTAGTTTAAGGAAATTTTGTATACAACTAGTTATTTATACTGGTATATTCCATATGAACTGTCAACTGTCAAAAGGTTGATATTTGAAGCTGTGTTTTTCTTCAAGCATTTTTTAGAACCAAGTCAAAGTTAGTATTGACAGTGACTAAGTGTCTTGACATTTCAATATCACTCCATTGTACTGGTAAAATGGAACCATGTGATCGCGAATTGTGTTAGAAATTGACAGCATTATATGTTTGGTGATTGCAATTTTTGAAACACTTCCATTGAGATTGAGCGAGAAGTTGAGAATATATAAAGCCTCTGAACTTGTCCAGACTCGTATTTATGTGTAATTCTATTTGGTGTTCCTAGGGATTATGCCAAGTATTGCGCATATATCTCCTATTGTATATTTCGATGTAGGACTCATAGAAGACGATTATGTTGATGAGATTCATCTCATGTCTTTAAAATTGCACAATGTTTCTTATGACTTGCACTATTATATTCTATTGTTTAAATGACACTCCTAAACATAAAGTATACACATTATGCATGTATCATATATGCATCAAACCAGTAACCATCATTAATTTGACTGGCGTATAGAAAACCACAAAGGACAATGATGTAGACGAGATTTGATTTCAAATTTAGCATACCATCCTCAAAAGTTTAACCAACCAAAATAGCTGACATCCATGCCTAAACCAAATTGTATTAACCAATTTAATCGTGCATGATTGACTATAGTCGTCATTCATCAAGACACAATTTCATATTCAAAATGAAATTCAAATCAAATACATGGACAACCACACAAAAGAATACTCCCAATTTCCCAAATAGGAAGTTTATTAGCCTTTCCATTTCATACATTAAAAATAATTTGAACAATAATCTCGCTCCACACACCCCACCTCTTTCTCTCTCTTCTTTACAAGGCAAGCAAAACTCACACAGTATATTACCAGATTCAAAATCAAATCAAAACTTCAAATTTGAACAAATTTTGAAACTTTTCTAACAATTTTTGCTAATCATGGCGTCTCGCCGTCGAATGCTTTTGAAGGTCATCATTCTTGGTGATAGTGGGTAATTCCCTTCCTTCTCTCTTTTTTTTTTTTTTTTGTCATCAATTTCTTTAAGATTATAAATAATTGAACAATTTTTCCATTATTGTTGTGATCTTTGATTATTTATTGGGTAATTTTTGTTTGATTTGATTTGCAGTGTTGGAAAAACTTCATTGATGAATCAGTATCCTTTACATTTTTATTTTTATTTTGAATTTGATTGATTGAAAGGAATTTTTTTTTTTTTCTGGGGATAATGTTTATATTGTATGATATGGTTTAGCCTTAATGTATGATCAGATTTGTGAATCATAAGTTTAGTAATCAGTACAAAGCTACAATTGGGGCGGATTTCTTGACAAAAGAAGTTCAGATTGATGACAGGCTTTTCACATTGCAGGTGAATTATCTGCTGCTTTTATTTTTCTTGAATTTTTTGTTATTTATATGTGTTATCTAGTGCATAATTGGCCTCGAATTACTGGTTTTTGATGTTCATAATTTATGGGAATTTTCTTTTATTGATATTGAAACATTGTCTAGAACATCAGTTTTTGAATGATATTACTCTAGTGAAAGTATTAAATGTTCACAATATCACTTATATGTAGTTTGTTTTTCTTTTTTCGGGAGAGTAATTGTCGTTTGTTTGTCTGTTTATCGCCTGCATTTTCTCTCAGTAAATGCCTGATGTAGCCATGTAGGTATGTAAATTTTACTTGCAAGAGGGGGAGTGAAAATAATTCTACACTTTATTGGATGGGCTATAAATTGTACGTAAACTAGTGTAACTTTTGTAAGGTTTCGACCTTGATGACAATAGATTATGAGAATATTATTCTTGCTAGTTAACTTGCTCTATTGAACATTTGGATCACCAAGCATAGTGGGAGAAATTAGATAAACAAAGAGGCTTAGTATCAGTAGTTGATATTTGTACTAGAACCTTAGTCCGATGCTGAAATTCATATGTACATTTTAAGGTTTGAAAGAGATACAAAGTTTGGTTAGTTAATTGAGGTTTTTCTTGAATATATGACTTGGAAATTTACCAGACAACCTAAATACAGCTTTCATGGAAGTCTTTGCAAGCAAATGTTAGTAATACTTTATTCTTTGGTGCACTAATACTTGTAGGAAATAATTGGGTTGAAGTGTAATTCTGAAATACCCAGCAAAAAGAAAAGGGTTCAGTTAACTTAAGCTTACAGTACACCTTTTCTATAAGCCTTTTTGTGGATTCAGACTAAGATAAGTGTAGATCACGAAAGCTTGCTGTATGTTGGTACCTATATATAATTCAAAGTTTCGAACCCGGAAAAAAATTGATAGACTGACCCAGACCTGACTTGACTGACCAAGTTTCCTGGTTTTATATGTAGTAAGATACTAAGGTTACTGATGATGACTAACCTTGAAAAAGAGAGACCCTTTGGTTACTAGGGATATTATTTTATATATCTAGAGTCTAGTAATATCTTGAAGAAATAAATTCTTGATGCAAACTGTGTTTAGCACACCACCGCTGAAACATCAATGCGCTGTAGCACTCTGTTCTCTAGAGAATAACCACCACCACCACCACTTGGTACAGATCCAGGATTCCAGGTCATCCTGCCATGGGTCAAGATCTGGGTAGGTTTAAATGTACATAGTTTTACTGACTATCTGGAGAAAATATTGCTAAAAGATTTACAATTTATTTGAAAAATAGCACATGGAATATGGATGTTTGGATTGCCCTTTTGCTCTAACATGAATGCTTTGTGACAAGCATTAATTCACATGAAATATTGAAATTGATTGTTGGAAATATGTATGGCACACGCACTTCCAAATTATATACATAGGGGCGTAGGACTGTAGGGTGGCATATGTAATAGGGAAATACAGATGTTAGAATAGTTTTTTGGCACCCAATCTCCTTAGGCATTTAGTTACAAAATGGTGTCCTCTGGATTGGTCTTGCTATTCATCAGACAATGTCTTTTGTGATCTTGCCCACATGCCTTGTTTTTATTTGGTAGTTCTTGTATTGTCCTACCTGCAGTTTTCTGCCATGTTTTTGTGATTTGACTCATCACATCTTTTTGCCCCCTTTCATTCAGCAGAAAGATTAAATTATTAGTTTATGGCAGGATCATATGGGGAAGTTGTAGTACTAGAATTGCAAATTCGTTTTGTTGCCTGTTCTCTTTGCCAATCTAATTTACTAGATGGGAATCGTGAAATTGGTGTATGTATATAACTTGTTTAGTCATTTTATGGCCAGCAGTTTTAAGATTTAAGTATCAGGCTCTACTATGCAGCTTATCAGCAAGATGATCTTTTAATTTCATCTGACCCATAGTCTAGATTTTCTTTCATGCTCCTCATTTTCCAGTTTGGAAATTTTCTTTGTTCATTTTACTTAGAAATGATACTTCCATGCTGAAAAGGTGTCTCATTTGTTCAGATATGGGATACAGCTGGACAAGAGAGGTTCCAAAGTCTTGGTGTGGCCTTCTACCGTGGTGCAGACTGTTGTGTGCTTGTGTATGATGTTAATGTCACAAAATCATTTGATGACCTTAACCGATGGCGGGAAGACTTTTTGTTACAGGTAATTGTTGATGAGCTCTTTTTTCCGGCCATTTTATTGTTCTTGTCATAACTTCTCTTTTGTTACTAATTGCAGGCTAGTCCACATGACCCTGATAACTTCCCGTTTGTTGTGTTAGGCAACAAAATAGACGTGGATGGTGGGAACAGCCGAGTGGTAAGATTATTTTGTCTATCTGTAGTGTCTTTGGTTTGAGATGATCAATAGTTCAAATACACATATTATTCTTAGGGCATATTGTGTTTTCGCATTTTGGGCATGTTTTCTGTACTGCTCTATTGCTTCAGTGCCAGTGGTAATACAAGTTAATATGATTCTCTAGGTGTCTTCAAAGAAAGCAAAGGCTTGGTGTGCCTCTAAAGGAAATATTCCCTACTTCGAAACATCTGCAAAGGATGGTACCAACGTTGAAGCTGCTTTTCAGTGCATAGCAAAGAATGCCATTAAAAATGAGCCTGAAGAAGATACGTGAGTTTAATTATTATATACTCTCCAACTTCATTGGTTTCATTTGTCTATTCTATCAATTTGCCCTTCGAATTATCTGTCCCTAACTAAATTACAATGCTATTAGCATGGTGTAGAATATTCTTACTTTAATTAATGAGCACTTGAAAACCTATTGTGCCTTTATTTTTTTTCCTTTCTCATTCTCATACTCTGTAAAATACTTAACCTGCTTATGTCATTCTTAATTAGATATCTTCCGGACACCATCGACATGTCTGGTGGCCAGCAACAGAGGTCATCAGGATGTGATTGCTAGGCTGGTTTTTTGCTGATTTTGGCTGGCTCAGAGCTTTTACTCATCACCAACTATTAAACTTTAAATCAACTTCATTTTGTGTACATTACTCAAATAGAGAGTTAAAGTGATTATTCGTTGTGTCATAATTCATTAGTTTTCTTATTGCTACCTACATGGCTACATATATTGTATGAGCCTCGCTGTTGCTGTCAGTGAGCTTACAGTACAGTCGTTTATCTTGTGCATTCTGATTTCTGGTCCAAACACTATTTATTTGACATCAGTGTAATGATCAATACGAGTAATTATGTTGTATCACTTTCTTTTAGAATTAAGAAATCTTTGGACATGTTCTTTTAAAGAAAAGCAGGGACGATAACACAGACGAGGGCACCTTTTTAAAAACTATGTAGTATCTAAGAAACTCGTCTTTAAGGATCTAAAGAAGCTATTGTAGTATACACTAATACACTATAGGATATTATTTTCCTCTTTGATACTACCTCCGTTTTTAATTAGTTGAGACGTTTTGACTTTAGCACTATTAACCCACCTCCCTTTGACCGTGTTTTGTGCTTTATACGTAATGAAAAATATAGTCATGTGAGATCTTGTTAAATTCGTCACATTATATACTTTCAAAATATCAACTTTTTATAATTCTTGTTTATCGATAATTAAAGATATTAATGATTGAATAAGTGCATTGACAAACGTGACTAAAGAAACGTGTCAACTAAAAAGAAATGGAGGAAGTATATGTTATCTAATGATGTACATAATTGAAATATAGTGAGTTATTAACAAAGTTGTTGAATATATCTTCAGTGAAGTTGTGATATCATGTTTTTCTTGGAGATGAAATTGGGCAAAGCTTGAGGAGATATAGAAAAGAGAAATCATTATTGAACTCACTTTGAAAGAACAAATCGTATGATTATATTGCACATCAAGGAGCATATAAATACTCTAGTCACTAAAAGTTTATACTTCGTATAATAAGATGGTAACATGAACAGAGTACACAATTAAGATGAGCTTTACTAACTCTTTCAAACTATCAACAGAAAGGAATAAAAGCATGTTATGATATCCAAAAACCAATTTTACTCGTATGTAGTGTAGAAAACTGTAGGCAATGTTGTAAAGGGACTTGCATACTTATGGGGCTGCTCTATTGATGGAATTTGTGTAAGGAAATTGAATGGCTAAATCGCGGACAACCTAATGAGTTATCCCAAGGACATGAATTCATGTTTTCCACTTGAGATTGTTGGCACTAGTTCACTGTCGTGTGGCGTGGTACCATTATGCAATATGGTCTCTCAGCTTGGAAGAGGCTCAACTTTATTGGAGTGCTATGAGCCCTAAATTTCTAGTTGGAAAGCCTCCTTTGGATAAACAAGCAATGACTTCATTCTTCATTGCCAACCTAGAAATGAGAACTAAGCATTTTAACGCTCCCCCTTCCCAACAATTGTTCGAATTGGAGACGGAAATAATCTTCGGCCAATATCTCCTACCTTACACTACTTTTTACTACTTTGGTAACGTATAATTGAGCTAGGGAATCTTGTAAGAATAGGTCCCCTCGTCCTTCCGTCTCCTTAGGTTCAGATGTACCAAAAAGGTTCTTTAGACCAATTCTTATAATCTCCTTGAATCCTGAAATCTTCGCTATTTCAGATTCATACTGTCCGGATTCTAAAGCCTGGATATAGGAAGGGTGTGAGTGTGTGAGCACACTTCTCATGTTCAACAACAGCAATCCCCTATCGAACATATACTTTCACATCTCAAGGCCTAAATTTATTGTTCAACAGTCTTCCAGCTGAGTACATCAACAAGCGAGCAAAATGACGAATACATACTTCATACAGCACTAATCCATCTATGGCGGGTACGAGTGTGCTAGCAAGCACAATATCCATTCTTTCCCCAGAAGAGAACAAGAGCTGAACCCTTGGGCTGTATTGAACACTACAACAATCGAGTTTTGTTGTCCTCTGATATAAATCACAAGGAAAATTATAAACAATTGGCAATCAGAGGTTGATAAAATCATTTGACATTTTCACATTTCCACTTCAAAACATTAAAAGGCACATGCTTCACCTACATGTTCAGCATTTTTTGCTCTTTCAAGAATTCAATCTTACAATTAGAAGAATTCCATGCCAGCAAGCAAGGAAAGCTTTAACATATCACCAGAATATGAACCTAAAATGTTTTTACTGGGAAAAAAATCGAGCATAATTTTGGTTTCTTTTGTATAAAGAGACCAATGCAATGATTGGATTTGAATGGACGACTTCAACAGTAGTTACCAAAAAAAACCATGTATGGGCATTGCATGATTCTTGAAAAAAAACTCTTCAATCTATGCTTCAGCATGTAAATTCAGGATCAAAGAAGCAACATAACAACCTCAATCATCCACCTTTGTCCTTTTGCCCCTCAAGATGAAGAAATTGTTTAAACCAATGTTTCCATGCTGCGTCTTCTTGTTGTTCGATCCAGGACAGAAAACAGCTATCTATTAAGCAGAAGACGTTGACATACAGAAGTTGGTACCTCACAGGTACATATCGAAAGTTAGCAACCTGAAGGATTGGCCATATACCACCTTCCAGAGCCAAGGCTGGGATAAAATCTCTCTTCACATCTTCTTTAATTTGAGGAACGCTCTTTCCATTAGTAAAACCCATGTATGTAAAGAAAACTAGTAAATCCACAGGCCCAAAGATGATCCCGTCAAGCGCAACTTTAGAGGCAACAAAACGAAAGGAATTTTGTTGCATTCTCATTCGCACCTTCAGGAAACGGTCTAGACCTTCATACCTTCAAGACAGAAATAATTTACAGCTATATTAATTCAGTAAATAAAAAGGAGTAACTCTTCCAACAACAGATAGCGTAGTTTACTGAACAGACTTGCATACAAAGAGCAAAAGTAATGCAAAAATAAAGTGGGACGATAAGATCCCTACCATCCTTAAAAAAACATGTGATTTGGTTATAATCTTGAGTGAAGCATTTTAAAGAAATTAATAGAGGAAAATTGCAGGATTAAGGCTTATGGTATTAAAGCTTTGATTCATTGATTGATTGAATAGAGGACAATTGTGCTATCCTACAAAACCCCTATTTCGGGGACAAAAAAAATTCAACAGTAAAAGGGGCAACTATAAAACAGAAACTTCATAGTTGAAAATGCAAGTCCTAAAAACTACTCCACTTTTTACTCATTTCATTATGCCTATTCTTTCCCTTCTCTTAGCACGCGCACTGAAAAGTATGTATTCATTAAGTATTTAATCATATACATCCCCATCATTTCATGCACAAACATCCACCATCCCCACACCCAAAGGATCAGCCTATAGGGATGAACCACAAAATTAAAATAACAGCAACTTATAGCCATTTTCTTATCTCTATAATCAACAAAACATCAGAGCTTATCAATCAATTACTCATGAAAGAAAAAACCAAGTTGGAGGCAAACAAAGCTACCAGGGTAAAAATATGAAACATAATGCTATCAAAGTAATGCATTACTTGCAGCAAAACTAAACCAAAAACTTAATGAACCAATACAGAGCACTAACAGTACTTCAATGTTGTGAAAGGAATCCTGCCAATTATCCTTAATGTGCTATTCTATGTTTTGATGCCATACAGATTTCATAGCTAGTAACCATATTAAGATTGGATCAAACCTCAGAAAAATAAAAGTCCATCAATAACCCTCCCTAATGATGGTGCTTGGCCAACTTGGGTGTAAGTATATATACAAGTAATACAACAATACTGATATTGTTAAACTCCGAAGTGATTATGTACTCAACATCTTATAATTCAAGATGAATACGATTAGAAATTTTGTTGTTTTCAAGTAAACATACTTGTTTAGGAACTCACTATCTACATTAACAATAGAAAAGAGACAAAAATGTTTGGTCAATAGGCATCTCATACACAAAACTATCAAGAAGAAAAAGAAAAAACATAATTTTGCATACATATTAGTTGTTTTAATGTACTGTGGCACAACCTCAATGTTGTACACAGATGTGAGTAGTGAACCAGTGATGAAGAAAAGACTAACCAGAAATGACCCACTGGTCCAATAAAACCAAAGCCAAACAAACTTGTTGCAGCAACCCTTTTCCAATTGATCTTCAATTTCTTGTCCTTTTCCTATGAAATGCAAAGAAGTAACAACTTATTACCTCCATAATAACTAAGAAGAGAATATGATGTCCTTATCCTGTTCGATTTTAAAGTTAAGCAATATGTTTTGTAGTAAAGGAATCAACACAATGAGCCATATTGATGGCACAGGCAGATCAAAGCCTTGTCCTAGCTCACAAATAGAAAATTAGAGTTGTATACGAAACAAAAAACAAACATTGATATCTCACAACCAACGACAGGCTCAAAACACAATCGCCTTTAAGCTTATTAGCAATTTAACATAAACCAACACAACCTTGCTCAGATAGGTTTAGAACCGATTAAAATGTAGCAGCATTGATCAATAGAAACACTACCAGACGGAAACAAGGTAAGAGACAGAAGCTCATATAACCATAGTTTTCAAAAGGCTAAGCAGACTAACTACTCTACACTAGCATAACCAATGAACACACTCACATGAGCACCCATCACAGATAATTCATACTTAACAATGGAACCAACTCAGTTAACTAGTAAATATCAGACTATAAATTGGATCTCCACCCATTAAATCTGCAAACAAAAATGCAACACATATAGCAATCGGAAAGAGAACTAATGAGGAAATCCTAAAGAAAATGCACATTGGCCTAATACAATCAATTAACACTGTTACACTGAAGACTGAATAATAACTATTTAACCTTTTAAACCATGCAAATTACAATTCTCATTCAGTACATTTAACCTTTGTTTTTCGATTCAAAATTTGTTGGAACGAAGATAATAGACTATTTTCCCAAATGGGAAATTCGCCATATAATTAAAGATTACCCAATTGTAAACAAACTAAGAACCTAAGAAATCAAGAATTTTGCACCAAAGATTCATCATAAGACCAAATTAAATTATTTTCCTAACAATTACCCAATATTTAAACAAACCAAAAACCCTAAATCAATTATACAAAAGAAAAATGCACTAAAGATTCTTCAAAAGCCCAAACTAGAATATTTCCCAAACAATTGAAATGCCCTAGAAAAAACCCAGAAAACGATCAAAAACAATAATCAGATAAACCCATTTCGCCAACAACCCATATTCAAATTAAAAAGATCCAAAAAATTCAAAGATTAAAAGATTCTTACAGAAATTTGGAGGGGTTTTTTGGCCATGGAAAAGGTAATGGTTTGAGCAGCAATATCCCCAACTCCCCAAAGTAATCCAGAACTTATCATTTGAGTCTTTACTGGGTGTACTGTCAAGCAATTCTGATACCATCTCCATAATCTCAACATTTTCCAAAAGCTAAAGAAAAAAACTGCAATTGATCGAAAAGAGAGAGAAATTGAGAGAAAGAGGGATGAATTTAGATGGGTTTTAAAGTTTTTGGGTGATTATTCGATTAGGCATTGAGATGCGGCAATGCCCCCCAAAAATTGTTGAAAATCAGGGCATATTGTGCATGTCATAGAAATTGTTGCAGTTTTAGATATTTCAGGGGGTTTTTTGAGGGGTTTAATTTTCGTTCTTTTGGCTAAAAGTGTAATACGTCTTTTGGTGGTGCTGTGTTTAGAGTTTAAGGGTCACAGCTAATTAGTGACCTGGGTGATCCTCAATTGTTTTTCTGGTGTTTTACCCGGTTCGCTTTTTGGGTTAATTCAGATTCGGGATCAATTGTGGGCAGTTAGGTCTCAATCCCCTCTCAATTGTTGTTGCGAGGATCATACACGGATCCTTCCTACCAAGTGTAGTCTCAATCACCACTACACCAACAGTCAATTGGTTGGTATGGAAGATTGTGGATATCACTTTTTTTTTTTTGAAACCGATCCTGGATATCACTTAAATATTAATTTGTTGGTATAATACTTTTTTGCATCTAAAAAATATTTAACCTTGATAGGAAAATTTCAATCGATAAATCACATTAAATACATATCGGATACAAATTAAATGAGTCATAGCAATTTAAAAACATTGTAATTATTGTAATTATTCATCGTTCTAATTGAGCCCAAATAAATACAATCGGTTACAAAACTTAATTTGGGTGATGAAAATTAAATTATTTTTTGTAACAACTGATTTAATTGATTTATTGTACAATCATAATTAATTGTACACACTTCACCCAAAAAAATAAAAAAATAAATTGTACACATATTTAATACATGCAATGTGATCGGTTTGATGGCGTGGCTAAATAAGAAAAAGAAAACGTCATGTGGCGATATGACACTCCTTGCCTTTGAGTTTTAATAATAACATTGATTAATGTCACATACTCCACATACATGATACATTGACACATCATCAAATTGATTTGCATGAGTAATAGGCATGAACACATGAACCATGGGAGCTATCCGGTATCGAATTTAGAAAGCGGTCTTTGTTATGCAATCTACTTATTACGAAGTATATGACTTATATTCCAGACAAGATAAAATCCGTTGTACACAAAAATAAAATGTATATAGAATACTGAACACAAATAAATAACCTTATTTCAAGTAGGTTTTTTTCAACGAGTTAATTTAATATAGGAAAAATGGAAAAGAAAAATCCAACCTTTCAACTTTTTCTTTACAAAGATCCAACCTTTTGATTATTCCTCAAAAATCCAACCTTTATACCCCTCCTTCTCCAACAGGTCCATTTTACTTGTGACCTGATAAACAGGTTAAAAAAGTTTTTTTTTATTTTATTTTTTTTATTATTTTTGCATTTTCTCTTCTCACTCCTATTCTTTCTCACTCCTCTCCTCTCCTCTCCTCTCACCTCAACCACCAACCCCACCTCCGTCACCACACTCAACACTTCTGCCGATTTCCACCAACCCTCAACGGCAACAAAGACGGCGATGTAAATAGCCCGAATATCAACGGATATCATGATCCGAATGACACGGTTGATCAACACAGCAGCATAAACAACGGCCATGATTACTCTACAACTGAGAATGGGGTGAGAGCACTGAATCTGATTGAAGATGAGGTGGAGAGAGAAATTGATGCTGAAATTGAAGAAGATCGAGGATGAACAGAGGATGGCGGTGGACTTGGATAGTGCGATGAGGAGAGCAATTGAGGGAGATGAGAGCCGGCGAAATGCCCCGTTGTCGCGTCGGAGAATGCAGTGAGAGTGATGGAAACTGGTGGTTGTGCGTTTGGAGTTGCGGGGCTGTGCGTTTGGAGATGCGGGGCTGGGCGTTTTGGAGTTGCGAGGCTGTGCGTTTGGAGTTCCGGGGCTGGGCATTTTGGAGTTGCGGGGTTTGGGTTTGGACGGAGGTGCGGCTGGGCGTGAGTGTTGGTGGCTGGGCAGTGGGGTTGGTGGCTGGGCGTGAGTGTTAGTGGTTGGGCGGTGGAGTTGGTGGCTGGGCAGTGGAGTTGGTGGCTGGGCGTGAGTGTTGGTGGCTGTGCTGGGTTCCGGTGGGCGGTGGGTTGGGGTGGTCAGGGAAGGGAAGGGAGAGGGTGGAGCTGGTTTGCTGAATTTTTTTTTTTCTTTTTCTTTTAATTTTTTTTTGTTTTTTAATAATTAAAAATATAATTAACCTATTAATAGATGACACGTGGAATATGACTTACAAAAATCGGTCATCAACAGGTAATGGACCTATTGAAGAAGGAGGGTATTTTTGTAAAGAAAAAGTTGAAAGGTTGGATTTTTCTTTTCCATTTTTTCCTTTAATATATATGGCTCAACTAATGACAAAATTTAACTAGTGGTGTGACTATTGACAAAAATGTCACACAAATCAAATGGTGGTCTACCTCTCCTTAGAACCAACTCCACATCAAAACTATCTATAGGCTAACAATTTTATTTTAGTATTTTATATATATATATATATATATATATATATATATATATATATATATATATTAGTTAAAGTCCCGTGCAATGCACGGATTTTTAATAACTTATATAGCGAATTACGACATTAATTTAACAATTATATGCTTAAAAAAAAGAATTACAGTAAAATATATACATTCAAAAATATTTCGTTTGAGTGCGTGGCAAAAATATAATCATTAAACTGGAAAGTAAATATTAAAATATTTCGTTTGGGTGCGTATGGAAAAAATATAATCGTTAAACTGGAAAGTAAATATTACTTGTATAGGCTATAAATATTTTTCATAAGGAAAGATAAAGAGTGGAGAGAAAATTTATAACCATTGAATGACATGTGTCATCACTGGTTTCGCTTTTAGTATTAAGTGATTGATTAATATAATACATGTCGTCATTACAGTTGGTTGCATAAGAAACTTTGAGAAAGACTTAGCATAATTTACACTAATCTAAACATGATTTTGTCTTTCCTAATCCATACAATTTTAGGAAATATATTTAATGCTTATATGCAATCCTTAGAGCTACATATAAGATATAATCTTATAATTATATTCTAATCTTATAATTATATTCTAATATATGCTCCCTTTTCTTCGTCGTCTAACAAACCCTTTATAGCAACCTTCAATCTCTAGTAGCATGTGCTACAAACTTACCATGACCATCATTCCATCGTTATAACCAAGCATGCTTGGTGAACCCCACCAACTACAAATGCTTGGGAGTATCTACTCTCAAGTGGACTTCAAGAGTTGGCTCGCTAAAGCTATGAGAGGTGTCGGTTCAATAAAGTCTTTCATTTTACCTTAAAAAAAAATCAGTCCATCAATAATAAAATTCAGCCCAACCTTTTCCATTACAATCCCACATCCAAACTTGACTTTAAAATATTCGTAACACCTTCAAAATTGCATCATGGGGTTGATAAATAGAGTAGGATTTTTACTAATTGGTGACGAAAACATTGTGAATGATAGAGAATATCTATAGAATATTCTCATCCTAGATTTAGGATATATTTTGTATAAGATTATCTTTGATATCCGTACATATCTTATAGTTACCTAATATGATTAGGTTTCTTATTGTAACCCTATAAATATTGATCAATGGAAATCACTCTAATCAAGGAGTTTTACAGTATCTGACATGGTATCACAGCTTAGGTTAGATCTTGGGATTATATACAAAAATTCTCACCCTGCCGGTGGGTTAGAAAATTAAACCCACCGGCGGGATATACAAAGTTTTTTATGCTTCCGCAAACACACATATAGATTGTTTTTTCTTTTCTCAAAGTTTTTTTTTAAGAATCTCTATGTAACCTTGCGCCTCCCACCAACAGTAGCAATCGCGAAAGCCTCCTCCATCACTGTTGGCAATCGCATACACTACCGCCTCCCACTACTGGCAGTAACCACATCTGTCAATCTACTCCATGTGCCGCACTCTATTTCCACCTCCCCATGACCAACAATGATTCTTACATTTCCTCATTGGTTTTTTTTTAACACATAATCACATAGATTTTGTTTTGGTGGTGGTATATCACAATAAGGTCAACTTTTGCACATCTCTTTTGCTATCAAGTTAGCTCCTTTTATTGTTGCAGCACTTGGAATCTTTGTGGAGTATTACTTCTTGCTACCTAGTTTCTCTTTTGAGAATTGATTAATTTCAAGCGGTGGGATTTAATCTTTTCTTGCGCAATTTTATTTGTTTTTCTTCAACTGTGATTTCACGTAGTAGTGTAGTGTCTTCTTCCCGATGATGGTTTGATCCCTTCACTTATTCTTCTCTGGATCTGCAACTTGGCCCAAGTATATGCGTGACTCTTCTCCTTCGGCCTAGAAGCGCATATCTCTACTATACGTAGGTCGTGGTTGTTGCTTCTCATCGTCATCACTAGCACACGTCTACTACTTCTCTTTTGATCATGGGTTACTATACTATCCTTACCGTTCGATGCGTGATTCAGATCCATTCTGAGCATCCGATTTTCTCCCGCTCTGACTGCGGGGGTGTGATAGAGAATATCCATAGAATATTCTCATCTTAGGTTTAGGATATATTTTGTATAAGATTATCTTTGATATCTGTACATATCTTATAATTACCTAATATAATTAGATTTCTCATTGTAACCCTATAAATATTGATCAATAGAAATCACTCTAATAAGGAGTTTATATTATCTAACAGTGCAAAATCACAACATCGATGCCAATGAGCCACATAACACAAACCATCACTTTCATGAGACAAATTGTGTGAAGGCTAAGAAGTTGGCGAATTTCTAATTATCCAAACTCCAATATATCTCCGAATCCCTTGTAACAGTGTGTGTGGATAGTAACACCCCACTACCCACACGTCACTAATCATCTCAATACTCCATTTATTCTGCTCATTTTTTCATCTCCTTTTTCTCTTTTCTTGCAATTATTTCTAAGAAGAACACTTCATCATCATCATTCATCAGGTACTATTTCTGCCCCCTTTTTTTTTTGTACCTGTTTAACAATTATGTTAATTAATTTCTGGGTTTTGATTTGTTTTTTGAGATGGGCTGAATTAATTCAAGTTTGTCGTCGGATTTTTGTGGGTTTTATGGTGTAAGATTATCTTTTAGTTTATGGGTTTTCAAAAATATTGGAACTTTGGAAGTTGGTTTTGGTCTACATTACTTGTGATGCTGCTTTGTATGGGGGTAATTTATGGGATTTTGCTTGAATTGTTTATGCTTTCCTTGATATTCTTAGAAGGGATTCTTAGAAATTGGATAATATTTGCTGATTGAAGTATAATGGATAGTTTCATGGTGAATTTAGGAAAGAGGAGAACAGCTCTAAACTAATTAATTTGACCTATTTTTCAGGAATTTGTGTTTAGCCTATGATCTTTAATGTATGCTTTTGAAATATGCAACAAGTATTTCTTTTGAGAATCAAGTGTCAACAATATAATCTAGAATGAGAACAGGAAAGGGCTAAATGATGTTAAGCTGTAGACTTAAAAGACTTTTTAGGTCTTTAGATGTGAAGTTTGGCTAAATTAACCGTCTTCTTGATGCCCCCCAATTGCGAAGGCAGTGAGATGAGAGGGAAATGGGGTTTGGAAGGGAAGAAGATTATTGATTAAAGCTTTCAGGATAATTTATTTGCTGATCAAGACAATACTGTAGCCCAATATTGGTTTTACTACATGTGACTGTGTCTGATCTAGGGCTAAGTAATGGATCTTCATTATATGAGACTCTTTTTGTTATGCTTTTTGTCGGGTGCCCCTGCCAGCCTGATTATCTTAGCTTTTATTGGGGACAGGAGTTGGAATGGGATTGTGTTCTGCATACAAGTATTGTATCAAAAAACCATATGTATTCTTCTTATTTTACTTTTTTTTACTTACCTTTAAACTAGTTAGTTTTTTTTGGGGGTGTAGTTATTAATCTTAGCAAAACCTTTTTTTATCTACAATTGGAGATTATCTTATATATCACTATATCAGTGACTCAGTGTATTATAATGTAGTCACCGGTATTGTGAGAATATACTCATATTTCATATTTGATTTAAAAAATGCTTTAGTTCTGTGTTTTACAAGTCTTTGATGTTCAATTGTTTCACCAATCACCTCCCATTATCATCAGTTAACTGAATTCTACTATGAAATGCCCTCTTTCTGCCCTTGTAAAAATGGGATGTGAAATGAACACTATGGTTTTTATCAGCGATTGCTTCAGTTCTTCACTTTTAACTGGTATTGCATGTCTATTAGAGAAAAGAATAATCATGGTGGAGTTATGAACCTGGGGCTTGTGTAAAGTGACAAGCTATCTGGAAATTCAGTTTGATATCTGAAATAGTATACTTGTGGAAGATATGGCTCATTTCTATGCTCTGCTCAAGCCCCCAGAAGCAGCTTCTGTCACAAAGAGAGAAATGGTTCAACCTATACCAGCAAAGGTAAAGTGTTCAAACTGATAGACTTAGGTACATTGCCTTAAGCCCTCTTTTTGAGAGCTCAGGTGTTGTCATTGTTCTTAATTCTTTCATGTTCTTTGCAAAGTTCAGAGTGTAACTAATTGAAACGGAGATCCTGAAAACTGTTTAAGTGGATTGGTTACCCCCCCCCCCCCCCCCCCGACACTTTCTAATTATCCAGCTAATACAAGGTTTCCTATTAGCTCATTCAGATTAATGTCATTACATTATCCACAAGCTGGAACTAACACCCGCATTAAGTCTTTTGTTTGTAAGTTGCTTCTGAAATAGTATTGCCTGGGTAGCATCTGCATTCCTGCTCTATTTTTTATCAGACCTTTTGGTTTCTGCTTCTTCCTCACAAACTATCTAATCTCTCACTTCTGTATTTCTAAACGATATGGGTACTGGTTGAAAAGTAAAAGTTTCTTGATTTTTTTTTCACTAGACTCACTCTTTAGACTCTTTAGTATTTACCCAAGCCACTAGAGGAAAATTCTAACATATCTTGAACGCAGCAATATACTTTTCCAGAATCCAATTGTCAATCTTAAGACTGATTTATCCTGCTCTCTACAGGGCACTGGCTAAAAGCTAACAGGAAAACTATTTTGGGACAGAGGGAGTACTTTTTATAAAATAATACCAAGTAAAAACTAGTAAATTTTGGAATATTATTTGTTTTTTTTCCCCCCTCTAATGACCTCTAATCTACCTTTCACCAAACACCCTGAATACAAATTTATACATTGATGTATCGAATGTGTTGAGGTTGTAGTAATTAGTCAGTCTAACTATATTGTGAGTTTGTGACGTGCTTGTTTCAGGGACACAAAATAGGTGTTATCCAGCTATACCCAGATCCGGAATCAGTTTGCTGTGCTTCGTGTTTGAAAAAATCTAGTTGCAAAATAGTCCGTACTAAAACAAAGATGATGAACATTTTGCTAGAAAAAGGAAAGGCTGAAGATGCCCTGTCAATGTTTGAGCAGTTAATTGAAAATGGACACATTCCATCACTGATAACATACACTACTCTGTTAGCTTGTATGACCATGCTGAAACGTTTTGAATTCATACACCCAATCATCTCCCAGGTTGAAAAAAATGGGATGAATCCTGATTCTGTGTTTTTCAATGCTGTTATAAATGCATTTGCAGAATCAGGAAATATGGAGGAAGCTATGAAAGCTTTTCTGAAAATGAAAGATAATGGATACAGAGCTAGTACCAGCACCTACAATACATTGATTAAAGGGTTCGGCATTGCTGGTCATCCTGAAGAATCAATGAAATTGCTTGAACAGATGTCCTTGAATGGGATGGCAAAACCCAATCTCAGGTCATACAATGTATTGGTTAGGGCTTGGTGTAGCAAGGGAAATATTACACAGGCATGGAATGTAGTCCACAAAATGATAGCTTCTGGCCTGAAGCCAGATACTGTTACCTACAACACTCTAGCAACAGCTTATGTTCAGAATGGTGAAACTAAGTTGGCAGAGGAGATGATATCAGAGATGCTAAGCAACAATGTACAACCGAATGAAAGAACTAGCTGTATCATATCAAGTGGATATTGTAAAGAAGGTAAACTGAGGGATTCTATAAGATTTATCAATAAGATGAAAGGAGTTAAAGGACGTCCCAATCTTGTCATTTTCAATTCTTTGATCAAAGGCTTTCTGGATAATACAGACCGGGAGGGGGTTGATGAGGTGAGTTTTCACATTTCTCTACTCTGCCCTTGGTATATTACAAGATTAGTGCTTTCTGCAGATAAAGTGATTTTGTTATGATAAGAATCATTCAATTGGTCTATATCCCATATTCTTTCAGTACACTATGTGGTACTTGTTGTTTCATGTCTGTCATCACACCAATTTGTCTTTTGTGATTTGATGCTCCATACTATAAGTTTAGGTTTGATTTTTCTTGTGAACCATTGTTGTGATGAAATATTAATCATGTGCAGTATCTCTAACAGGTTTTGAGATTAATGGAAGAATATGGACTGAAACCAGATGTAATTACATGTAGCACAATCATGAACGCATGGAGTGCTGCAGGTTTCATGGACAAGTGCCAAGAAATATTTGATCATATGGTTAAATCTGGAATTAAACCTGATGCTCATGCATATAGCATTCTCGCTAAAGGTTATACACGTGCAAGGAAGCCTGAGAAGGCCGAGGAAATACTAAACCATATGATAAATACAGGTCTTCGTCCTAATGTTGTGATGTTCACAACTGTAATCAATGGCTGGTGCAGTACAGGAAACATGGAATGTGCAAACAAAATCTTTAAGAATATGTGTGATTATTGGGTATCACCAAATCTGAAAACCTTTGAAACACTAATTTGGGGATATGGAGAGGCAAAGCAACCGTGGAAATCTGAAGAAATGCTTCAGATGATGGAAGAATTCGGTGTCCAGCCTGAAGAAAGCACCTTTACACTCATTGCTGAAGCTTGGCAAGCTGCTGGTGTAGCTAAAGAAGTGGGTAGAGTTCTTGTTTCTGCAAGAAACCAAGCATTGACTGATCAAAGAAATAGCCCTGAGGAGCTGCCAGTTGTAAGTTCAGAAGATGCATATCAGAAACAGCTGTCTAACTCATCGCATTCTGACATGTTATTGGCAACCAATGGAGTTATTGGTGATTCTAAAGGGTCTGGCCCTAGTACCATTAAAAGCCGATTGGTACTAAGAGATGCATCAGAAACTCCCTGGAATACTGCTGCTAAGTCCATTAATGCTGCTCAAGCTTGTCGATTTGGGACCAGACCACCCATCATTTGTCGGAAGCAATCTCATGGGCAACCAAGTTTGTACAGCCACCTTGCTCTCTCATGTACATTGGTTTTCTTAAACTGAGAGGAATTTGGGTGTTCCATGTCTTGGAATGTTACAGGAGTGAATACTCGTCTTACACCCATTTAATGTTGTAGATACTAAGTTCTCCCTGTTCAACTAATGTTGTAACTTACTGGGCATAATTACTTGCTTAGCTAGGTACAAAATTTGGTAGTACAGAAAGCAAAAAAACTGTAAAGGGCATTTTGGTAATGTCATGAAAACACTCATTACTTCAGAGGTGTATTATTTTTAGTCTCGAATACTCTATTTTTAGTCTTATGACAAATATTTGAAACGCATGCGAAAGAAATTATTGTACTTCTGTTGCCATTTTCCATATAATTATGGAAGCAGGTACTTAAAGAGAAGACATACTTTCAGAAAATTATTTTATGTAACAATTCATTCATCAATTCATTATACAGCCTAAAATGGTCTCTATATATGCAAACCTAGGTTTGCTCGAAACTGTTATGCACAACAGCTTGTAATAGGCCCGTTTGTTATCCTGCTGGCAACTTTCGTTTTTCATCAACCCTCAATACATATTGTAATTAGGGAAGGAAATCAGCACAGCAGCTATGCTTCAACTCTTTTAAGTGGCTTTCTTTGTGTTACAGTATGTATCAGGCTTCTCAGGCTACCCTTCTGACGGATCAGATGGAACCCTACTTAGTAACCATACCAAAAGTACCCCAACCAAAGCACCTGATAGATGCGCAATGTGGTTGACATTCTGTAACGAGTAGGTTCCAATGAAGCCATTGGACAAACCAGTTGATGCTTGAGCTGCTTCCATCACCTAACATGATAAGAGGATAGATAGAAAAATTATGTTTGGGCAGCATATCTTAGTTCCCAGGTAAGGTGCAAAATTAAGAGAGATAAAACAAAAATATAGGCAGTCATATACTCATACAGGTATACCATCAGAGTCTTTCTTTACAGTAAAAAAAATCCCAATAACCATATATTAGTTTGCCTATCTTTAATATGAACTATCAGTATTCTTCTGAAGCAAAGATTTCATAAAGCAGAAAGAAGTCGCATACAAACAACCAGGTCACACTCAATGAAAGCATGAAATAATTGGAAACCATTTGGTAGTTATTACACTAATCAATGACGGTTGTAGTGTTTACAAAGACACCAAGAGTTCATAACCACAATAAGCATTTTGAATTATTATGTTACATAACATTCACAGTTCAGAAGAAAGAATCTTTTATGTGTATCATGACATGTTAAACTGGTATTAGTTGAAATTCTTTTTTTCCTAATGATAGGTATAAAGTTGTCTTATTTAGCTGGGTTACACAAGATACTTGATACAATTATAAACTTGGAGGGGAATTGGAGTACTCACCTTCTCTATCACAAATTGGCCCAATATGAGCACTTCAAGAATCTTTCTCCAATCCAATGACATCTGCAACCAGCTAGGAAAGTCAGGCACAGTGAGGCATGGCCTGCTATATATACATTCTAAACCTCAATATTACCTTCACAAGGACGCTTATTGCAAACAAGCCGAAAACGGCACCAGAGGCTCCAACAGAAACTGCATTTCTTGGGAGAACCAACCAAGAAACAAGGTTTGCACCAGCACCTGTTAGAATATAAGAAAGCCACAATGCAAAGCTACCTTCTTCCTCTTCCACGAGCTTCCCTACACATATAGTGGAAAGCCACTCCAATTTTCATATTGTGCAAGAACGAGGCGTTCAGACCACATTCCAAATTCAACATAAACAAATTGTCTTACCGAAAATGTAAAGAAAGAACAGATTGCTGGAAAGATGGTTCCTGCAGATGACAGCAGCAGCTAAAATTTACTGAAAGACAAGACCAGGACATGGGTTTTGCACTATTGCTGAGCCCGAACACTAAAAATTTAATTTTTTTTTTCTTTTTTTTTTGGTTGGGAAAATAGGACTTTTAGATGTGGCATACAATTGAGGCTCTCTCCTAACTTATGCAATAGTTCTTATACGCTGCACTCTACTCGATCAAGTACTCATTAGTGCATAATAGTTGTGGAACCTTACCAATTTGCATGACAAAATGCAGCTGTCACAAACTGGTACCAAGCAGGTCGATTGTGGAACAAGTATAGGGCTTTGATGTCTCGAACCTGAGATTTATATGAAGATAAAAACAGGAGATAACTGAGCTACCTGATGCAACGACTCTACAATAGCAAAAAAAAAAAAAAAAAAAAAATTAAAAAAAAAAAAAAAAAAAAGGCAACCCCCACATGGTGAACAAATATATATCAATTTATTAGATAATTAGCGCAGCATTAGGGTTTCTGATAGAGAATTTTTCAATATTAAGTATAATTAGGGGAATCAATAGCTTCAAGTTATACTACTCCCTCCGTCCCTTATTGATAGTCCATTATGGAAAGTTTTCACGGGAACTAATAAACATAAATAAGATGTAGTAAAGTACATTGGAAAGTAAATTTACATTGGATATGCAAAAAAGTAGAGAGAGAAAGTAATAAAAAGTACATGGAAAAGCAAAATTTACATGGGAAAGTTAAATTTACACAAATATTGTTGCAAATTTGAGAGAGTTTTGATGTAAAATTCATATTAATGGTACTAGAAAAAAGCAAATGGGACTATTATTTTCGGACTTAAACTTGGCCATAAGGAACTATCAATAAGGGACGGAGGGAGTATTAAAAAGTTTCAGTGTTGATAGGCATTATCAAGGATGACAAATTTAATAAAATATATGATTGGCACAAACAATTAAGTTTCATGTCTCTCCTCACCAAAATTTGCATGACAAAGTGCAAAGTTTGCTAAGGTCTTTTCATACTTTTTGAAAATACTGTAGATAATTACTTAAGCCCTCCGTCTCCGAAAGAACGACCCTTTTGGGTTGATTTTGCGGGTATTAATAAAGTTAAATAAAAGAGGTAAAAGTATATTGGAAAGATAAATTTATATGGGGCTTACAAAAAAGTAGAGAGAGATAGTAATAAGAGTATATGGAAAAACAAAATTTTATATGGGGAAACTAATTTTGCACAAATATTGTTGCAAATTGGTGGGTATTTTAATGCTAATGGGTCATTCTTTTTGGGACTAAAATTAGGCCAAATAGGTCGTTCTTTCGGGGACGAAGGGAGTGATAAGTATGTTAACCAAAATAAGTGGCAATTACTATCTTAACCAAAAGAAGTGACATATAAAGTACCAGAAAGATGTGATCTGCCACATATATAGCAAGGTTAAGAAGAATAATCCAGAATATTGCGTTCACCCTCTTCTCTGGTTTGCGTCTCCCATATTGTTTCCCAAGCTCCAGCTGTGACATTGAGTCTGTAAAAGGTTTTAATATACTGCTTACAAAAGTACCCACTTTAATATCTATAAAGCTTGTCTGAAGGTTAAAAAATGATAAAGCTAATTAATGAAAATTACTTGAGCATAATAAGTAAAAGAAAATTAAATACTTGAGGTGATTGAATTAGTGTATAATTGCATATGACAGACACATCACAGTTGTCATGCAACTATACATTTTGATCTCAGTCAAAGCAATTCATATTAAACCTTAAAGCTAAAGTACACCATTTTTCTTTCATCTGTACTGATCAAGAAGCTGTAACTTGTAAGGCTAATAGAAGTATATTAAAACCTGTACTGATCAAGAAGCTTCCCTGTAGTCTACTTGTGACATTGCCATTTTCATTAAATAAAGAGATCACTATTTGTCTTCCAAGCTTATATTCATCTGATTGTAAAACTCAAGTATAACCGATGAAAGAAGATAAACTAAAAAAAAAATTGATTTAAGAATTAAGCATAACACGGCTTTAAGAATTCTTCTAGGAAAGGAACCTCACTCCCTCAGAATGCTAAACCAACTATTGAAAGCATACCATCTATCGAATCATCAACCTTACTCCCAAATAGAAAATTCATGAATCTTCATCTAAATACAGAGTGATTTACAGTTGGAACTCCAGAAGATAGCATCAGCCTCTTGTTCTTTCCAAAACCCAACTTCAAATTCAGGTTTGTAAGTTTACAGAATAGACCCAACCACACCTTTGAAACCTTGCCAGTTAATCCTCTACAATTGAATCAGTTACAAATACTCAGCAATACATTTATAAGTTACAATCATCTTCCATATATATAAATTCTCATCTTCAACAACGACTTACTCAAGAAGTTCGATACTCCTCCACTCAATAAGAAAGGAGTGTAAAATACAGCAATCCACACTAATACACTAAGCAACCCTTACTTAGCTTAAATTTCTCACAACATTTAGTAAAGCCAAATAAACCTATCCCATCAAAGTCACATGCATTCATTTATATCATCAACCAAGTAGCTCATGTTCAAAAGTAAAACTCAACACATACACGCTTGTCATCCATTGATCAACTCCATGTACAAGTCTTCTTGAGGGCAAGTTATCTAATATACACCCGGGTGTCATGTACCTAATACAGTATTATCACACCACACTACTTATAATCTCTAACACTTCATTTAGAGAACCTAAAGGCTAAATATTCACAATCTAATTCTTATGTAAATAAGCAATACACAGCATAAATGTAATAATTCCAACTAAAGCTAGCACACTAGATAACAGCATAAACTCTTAATAACCTCTACAGTCAATGGCATAAAGCTTCTAAATTCACCCCAAAACCTCAAATTATAACATTACCAGCATAAAATTCATGCTTCCTAAACAACAAATTCCCAAAAATGTTTAAATAAAAATATTGCACACAAATCATCAAGAAATCAGCTAAAATCCCCTTCCTTGAATTAACTAAAACATATCAACATCAAAACAAGGGCAACATCATACAAAATTTGATTAATTAAATCCCAACAAAATCAACAAGTCTAATAATATAACCCCCATCAATATATAAACATTCATATAAAAATTAGAACTCCCTCGATTATTGTTAGAGAAGAGAAAGAAAGGGTACCAGAATCACTAAATTTGCAAAAATGGCGAAACCCAGAAGTGGGGTGGTGAGGATAAGCAAAAGGGGAAGAACGAGAGATGGAAACATAATTGGGATTGGAAAGTTTTGGTTTTCTGTGAAAATTGGAGAGAGAAATGGCGCCAAAGACATGGAATTTGGGGTTAAATGGAGGTCGAAAGATAGGTATGAACATCCCATTTGTAGAAGAGAATGGTCTTAGTGCTAGGAATTGCTGGACTTGTGCCATTCTCTGTCTCCCACTCTCTACCCCTTGTCCCCTTTGCTTGGTTCACTACTTGAATGTTGAGTTACCTCAATTTGTGTGTGTTTGTCTTTGTAAAGAAATTGAGTTAAGGGAGTAAGGGTATATTCTGATTTACTAATGATTTGAGCTCAATTGAACTGAACTGAACTGAATATTATGAGAGAGAAAAATAGGAATTGAACTGAATTGAATTCATTGGAGCTGAATTGAACTGAACTGAATTCTTTGGAGCTGAATTGAACTGAACTAAACTGATTGGAAAACTGAACGAAGGATGATTGATATAAATGGAGGAAGTATAAATACATAACTATGATGTATGGGTAAAGAGACTAATAAGTGCAATTTGACGGGGGAAAGGCAAAAGTTGGGAAAATAAGAGGGTAAAATTAACAAAATGGAATAGTAAATTTTGTAATGGCTAATTGCCCTCGTAGATTTTATGTCAATGGACAATGGTGACTTGATAACTTCACTTTACCAAATTCTTCGTTGATTTAAATGTGATTTGAAATCTAAAAATACTTTTTTTTTTTTTTTTTGACAACACTAAAAAATATACATTTAAAAATACTTACATGCTGATTTTTAGATGTATATTGGCAATAAAATTTAATAATCCTATGATGTCTCATTTTATTAATTAACTAAACACAACTAAGTGCATTTCTCCATCTCTAACTCATTTGATTATCTTTAAATATGGGAAGCTTTGTAGAGGTTTGGTACACACAACAAGCATATAGAAAACAATACCTCGAAGAATGAAAGAAAGCCATTAAGGTCATGTTAGGGTTAGTGAAAAAGTTAGTGCTCGATCTACATAAATTGTATTGTGAGGAAAAGTATTATTAACCATCAAATTTGAGCAAAGTTTTCTTGTATCCATATAAACACCTTATAGTGAAAGATTTGGACGTCTCACATCGCTGATTTCCCCTAATTATTTATTTACTCATGTAACAAAAATTACTTTATTTCATTTTTTATTACTTTATTTTTGCAAACTTTAGTTTATCCAGTGAAATTAAATTGAATACAAATCACTAAAATATAGTAGTTGTGTGTGCATCACATAATAATGACCTCTCTTCTCATTCCTACTCTCAAACAACTATGTTTACTAAGTTGATTAGGGTTATCTGTGGGAGCTTTCATTGATAAGACCTTTTGATTACTTAGAAAAAAAAAGTACAATGACTTTTACATGAAGTTTCAATTTTTAGTACCTAATACTTAATTAATTGGGCAAAAAAAAAATATTTGTGTAGTTTGGTCGATGTTATTGAGAATATGCAAACCTTATAATCTCACATGGATAGCAAAACTTATAATAGCACTAGTATAGGACAACCAAAGGCGCGACATCAGCACAAGCTTGTATAACTATCACAGTATGAAGCACAAGAGTTTGAGTTAGTAAACTTAAAAAACATTTTTTTTTGGAAAAACACGACACAACACGATACGATAAAATAAAATAAAAATAATTTAAATTTGATTTCATCACACTAGCCCAAAACGACAAACCTTCTTTTGAAAAACCCTAAATAAACTTACTCAAATTACAAATTTGATTCATCTAATTGATTCATGCCCTAATTGATGATGTTGATTGTTGAGTCCATATTGAAAAAGGGGTGTTTTGGGGAGTTTGGGACATAAAAAAAAAAGTGTCTTTCATTAAGTGTGATACTGTGATTACAAAGAAGCAAGATTGACTGGTCGAGTGAATGAACCCCAACTCAAATAGGCACACATTCTCTCGTTGGTGAACTCAATTTACTTTTGCTCCCGCCGCCGCCACTCCTCCGTTGTGCGCCTTTGCCTCTCGTCTGGTATCATTTCATCTATAATATTGTGTGGAATTTGTTTGTAAAAATTTGATTTTTTGGTGTTTATGTACTGCATTATAACTATGACTTTGTGGGTTATTCAAAGAAATTGTTATTAAGAAAATTTGAGCATTAGTTGATGTTTTCATGCTTGTTTTTGCTTTTTTGTTGGTAAATTTTTCAGGGTTTGTTACAATTGTTGCAAGAAAGATAATTTCGTAGGTTGATTTTGTTTGCTGTTTGGGGGTGTTTTACAGTGTAAAAATGGAGCAAAGATTAGCCAATAGTTGGAATATGACTGTGAATGAGAAGAATTTTATTGAGACGGCATTACTTTCGGATCTCAGAGTTGATGGACGCCGCCCTTTTGACTACCGTCGCTTAACCATAAAATTTGGCCGGTAAAAGGTTTTTTCTTTTTTGTAAATGTATGTTGTTATGACTTATGAATGTGGTTTTATTTGTTTTCTGTGCATTGATAATGTGTCTTTATTACATATAGCCCTAAAATTCACTGATTCCACATATAGAGAATGTCAGAATCATGTTGGACACCATGGGTTTTTCTCGCAATCTGTTTTAGTATACTCCCTCCGTCCCTAAATTACCTTGAATTGATAACATTCAAGGAATTAGAATAATCTTCTGTAGTGCCAGTGAGAGTAGGCAGGTAGAACCACAAGATATTAGAAGGACCTAACAACAACAACAAACTGTCATTGCGTAGTAGGTGCCCTATGCAGTGTCTTTTTAGATGTTCAAAGAGCTCGTTGTTACCACTCTTATTGGATTTACACAAGGAGATGAACTGTTATTGAAAGGTCCTTGATTGGAACTTTTTCTTTTGGGTGATGCATATTTAAAAGAAAATAGAAAGCAAATGTATGCAATTAGGTTAAAGGACCTATCTTCCACACGCCTAGCATGATGTGATGTCCTAAAATGGAGGAGCAGGCAGGCTGTTTTGGCTGTAGTATATAGTTTGGGAAAAAGGTGATTGTAGGTTTTCCCTTCTGGAGCACTTAGGTTGGAGTTGAAGTTTGATGTGGTGTTGGGATTAACAAAGACAGTTTTGTCAACTGGATAGGCTGACCTATGCAGGTGAGATTAATACCTAAATATTTGACATGTACTTGCCAGATTTTTGAATCTTGACTGCATTGGTGTTTGCTAATTACTCTTCCAATCAGGTGAAGTACAAAGGATTGTTGATTTGTTGGTGTAATGGGGTTATTATGAGTCTTGACTCTCAAGTAGTGTACACTTTGTATAGGTTATGTTTATAAAGGTGCTGCAACGAGTGGTTGCCTACATGGCTCAAAGTAAAGTAACTTTTTGCTGGTGCACAGTCAACTCAAGGCATCCCATGGGACTGCAGATTGCTCACTTACGGTGTGTTTGGATTGAAGGAAATGGAGGGAAAGGAAGGGAAGAGAAATGGAGAGATGGAGTATCTTTCATTTGGATAGCAAATGAGGAAGGGAGGGAATTGAAGGGGAAAGAAATGGAAGGATTAAATTGTAGAAAATTAATCCCTCCAACAATGAAGAGATTTGGAAGGAAAACTCGCCATTCTTCCCTCCCCTCCTCTTCTCCTCCCTCCTCTTCTTTTCCTTCCCCTTTCTTTATCCAAACAAACTGTTATTGTTTTCTATCTTTAACTCTTCTATTAAAATTTAAATCACAAGGCTCCTCCTGCTGTTCTCTTCATTTGAATGGGTGATTTGATGCATTATGGTGTATGAAAGAATTTTGGCATGTGTTGTGTACTTGTGTCCCATGTGATCTCACCTTATATCTTGACTCTAGGACCCTTATTGCATTAGTGTGTCTCGTACCCTTCAAAACACTGTGTGAAGGTACATCAATGTGACCTCATTTGCAGAAAATTCCTTCCTACTGAGTTTTTATTTGTTTTTTATCCTAATTGGAATGGAGAATTGGAGATGGATTATGCACAAAACTGTTTAGGAAATATTGATGATGAGCTGTGGCCAATAAGATCCATAAATATAGGATTTCCAAATTATTCTTCTCTAGAAGAGCATTCAAAATATATTTTCTGTTGCCATGATGTATTTTCTTCCCTTATGCGTTTCAGTTTTAAAAGTGATACAAAACCTAGTATTTGATCTCAGTGTATGAAGTCATTGTTTTTTGTCAGTAAATATGGTTTTTATAGTTTATTTATGTATTATAACATTATAGGTCAGATCATAATGGCCATGAATTAATTGGTTTGATAATGTGAGTTATGTGACATACTCTGGTCATATATGAGTTGCTCTGGTTTGATATCTTTTGCTTGATAATATGGTGATTCAGAAATCAGAATTGCTCATACTTTCTTTAAATTGCAGAGAAGATGGTTCTTCTGAGGTGCAGCTTGGCCAGACTCATGTCATGGGTTTTGTGACTGCTCAGCTTGTTCAACCTTTTAAAGACAGGCCAAATGAAGGATCACTCGCTATTTATACCGAGTTTTCTCCTATGGCTGATTCCTCATTTGAGGCAGGCCGCCCTGGAGAATCTGCTGTGGAATTGGGACGTATAATAGATCGCGGTTTGAGGTTTGTTTTGACTTCGTTTCTTCTAGATCATACCATTTATTCTTGGACTTTAGACTGCAACATAAACCTGTTTTGAGTTTTGACCATTAGCTTTGGAAACGTTTTGATGATCATATAAGGCATGCCTTATGATGAATGTAGCAATCTGAAATAGTAGTGAGAGTTTTATCATTGTAAATCTTGCTTAGTACTTAATTGATTTCTGCTGAATTTGTCACCTACAGAATGCAATTACTAGATTGAGACAATTATCTGATTTGAGAAATGGTTTCAAAGCTGAAGCTAACTTAATTTTTCATCAATTGTTGGTCTTAATATGTTTAATGTCAAAAAATATCAAGACTTTGCAACCAGTGTTTAGGGTTTAGTATCAGTTCGGGTTGGGGTGGGCTGGGGTTTTGCAAATGCCTCTATTCATTGCAGTTAGGAGAATGCTATGACAGAAAGGAAACTGGGTCCACATGGCTGGTTGGTCTAGAAATTTAGAAATATGGGAAGGCATACTAATTCCTGGACATCTAAGGTCTACTGGTACTTTTGGTGGCATGATGAATCCAATTAATAAAATACGTAGTATAAATTTAAGAATACAATTTGATATTTTGAGATCTTAGTGATCAGAACTAAGTTTTACACTACCTAGTTTGGTTCTCTTCTTTTCTTAGTTGGTTTGCTTATACAGGGATTGTTTTGACTCTGAAATGCTCTTGCAGGGAGAGCAGGGCAATTGATACAGAATCACTTTGTGTCCTTGCTGGCAAATTAGTGTGGTCCATTCGTATTGATCTTCACATACTAGATAATGGAGGGTATGATGTGATGTTTCTTTTCATGAGACAGAACTCTATTTTCTTGTGTCTTGGACTCTTGGTATTTACATATGACAGCTCATGTTTCTCATTGGCTCAGAAATCTTGTTGATGCTGCAAATATTGCTGCTTTGGCAGCCCTTCTGACGTTCAGGAGGCCAGACTGTACTCTGGGGGGAGAAGATGGACAAGAATTAACCGTGCATCCTCCTGAGGTATGTTGATCTCTCTCTTGATTTTTGGCTAAAGTCTATGGTTATAGCACTTAAATTAATCATCCAAGTGTTTTAAGGCTTTAAGCAGCAAAATGTTGAATTAACCAAGTACTGTTGTCACTGTTTTATTTTTATACTTCGTACATTATTTTTTTATTATTTTTTTTTTTTTTTTTTTTTTTTTTTTTTTTTTTTGTAGTTCCTGACCTTCATTTTTTTGCCCCAGAATATTCTTTAATAAAATTTTGAGTATATGATATACCTTTTATCCAGTGCTTCTCGTAGGTATTCTAGATCACTGGGATGTGATGATACGGGGTTTCAACCATTATAGTATTACCAGTACTAAACTTTGTAAATAATGAAACTCCTGAATGTTTAGGTGGAATGACTTACAAGGATTGTAACTATTTTTTCCTCTAAACAAGAGGCTTGACTAAAGGCCAAGGGAATAAATTCATGTAACTTGGTGATCCACCTAATTCTTGAATCTTGTCCGCACAATCAGGAGAAAATATCTAATAAATTTATCTTTTATATATATATATAGGCTCCTGCCGCTATTGGCACTGTAGAAGGTGAATCGCTTGTTTCTAGAGTTTTGAAGGATTGACTCCATTCACTTTTTTTTTAAGAAAAAGTTCTTAGATTCATTTACTGTATTTAGTCTGTTGTGGTTAATTATGAGAGGCCGTTCCCACAAATTTCATAATTTTAAATGCTTGTCCGTACTTTGGCAGGTGCGTGAGCCGCTTCCATTGATAGTTCATCATCTTCCTATAGCTGTGACATTTGCTTTCTTCACTTCTGATAGTGTTGTGGTAAGAAATGAGTTTAACAGCATATCTTTGAGAGAATTGCTAGTCTTTGCTATTAGGATGGACTTTTCATGTATACCAATTGATACAGGTGATAGATCCTACTCTCTCTGAAGAGGCCATAATGAAAGGCAGAATGACTGTTACGATAAACACAAATGGAGATATATGTGCCATTCAAAAGGGTGGCGGAGTTGGTGTCATGCACAATGTTGTTATGCAGTGCTTACGGGTTGCTTCTGTCAAATCTGCCGATATAACTACCAAGATTAAGGAAGCTGTAAGATCTAGTTATATTCTTTGTTATTATGTTATTGGAATTATTTTTATAATTTTGTTGTTGTTGTTGTGGTGGTGGTGGTGGTTAACTGGTTATGGCATTTTTGTGTGGTTTCTAACCATTTAAATTTGAATTTACTTATAGGTTGAATCATACAATACAGAAAAAGCATATCGCAAAGTCAAGCGCCACCCATCTGCTGCAGGGGATCAAATTGAGAGGTTAGCATTGAAAGTGTATGCTATAAGTAGAAGCAGATATTATGTAAAATTTAATTATCATCATTTAGATGTTGGGGCAAGAGCCAAGAGATTATAAAACTAGTTATATATGTTTGTCCTGCATCTGTTTTCATGTTTAACTGCTTGTGCTTTTCTCTGTATCTGAGCCAATGAGCTAAAACCAATTTTCCGAAGTCAGAATGTCAGGTAGTCCTAGCAGTGAGTTCAGTGTCACTTTCCATGTGTGTTTAAACCTTTCATATGGCGAGTTGTTTTGTGTACCTGAAACCAAGTTACTACGGAGTAAAAAATATTAGTAAGTTGTCAAAATGCTTTTCATGACTTCATGAGTGCCTGAAGAAAGGAATGTAAAAGGGTTGACAAGGATGACCAACAATGAGGGAATCAGGGAAAGAAAATATCAAATTTGTAATGCATTCGTCATATGAGATTAGTCTTTCTCCATTTCTCTCTATTACGGAGCATTATATATCCTAAAATCTGATCTATAATTGTATATCTTTTACCTTTATAAAGATACAGTCAAAGAAATAATAAGGTTAATCAAATGCTTCTCTTATCTATGCTGTATTCTTTGAGTGCTTTTGTTCCTTGTTCGGTATCATGATTGTCAGTCTCCACGACCCCAATTTATCTGCACTACAGTAATTTCTAATTTCTACGTATGCTAGCTGTCTCTAATTTCTTGAGTTTTGCAGGTAAACCGATGGTAGACATCCATCAGAATTTTTGTTTTAAAACACTACAACAAGAATATGGAGTTTCATCACTGTCATTTTTCTGGTGAGACAAATTTTGCCCTGGAAAATGAGGAAATTAACGGGGGTCTTTTTCTCACCGGTAAGTTTCTTTTAATTCTTTGGAGGATTAGTTTCAAAATTTCTGTTAGCACATGACTTCAGATATGTCCTAAAGAATTTATGGACAAGTTCATTCCAAATATTTGGAATTCGAATTTTTAAGGCTTTTCAAGCTGTTCATGATCTAGAATTCTATCTTTGATTAATCGAGCCCAATCCTATCTATGGCATATCAAATCATGTAAAAAAGTTATTCTGTGTATACACTTTTCGTTTTTTGCAGTATATACGCAGTTGTCTTACCATATTACGCCGTTGCTGCTGTTCAATTGCAGGCATCTCAACTTCTCATCTACAACATAGGACTGTACATGACATTAGCGAGTGATACATTTTATTAGAAGGAAAGCTTGATCTTCCGTGTACACCTTCTTCTTGTCGACCTTCCGGCTTCTCTTTTACCCCCGTTTATCTAGTTTTACTTGTTAGTAGTTTATTTTTTTGCAAAAATGGGCCGCTTGGCTTCTTCCCTTCAAGTTTTTTTTTTTTTTTTTTTTTTTTTTTTTTTTTTTTTTTTTTTTTTTTTGACACAACCTTCAAGCTAATTATAGCTGTTTATATGCACAAATTTATGACCATTGATCATCTTGTTAATTTCCCTTGTTTAAAGTGTTGTGTTTTTTTTTTCTTTTTTTTTGGGGAGAAAAGTGTTGTTCTTTTCGATTGTATGTTTTGAGCATTAATCGTGAATATATATGTTCTTAAACGTCATTGAACTTGATAACCTATTTAAAACCTACCAACTTCAACCCCTTTGTAGTTTGAATACTTCATTTTACACAAATATATCTTCATTACATATGACATTATAATTGTTCACTTAATAATGTATCTCAAGTACTTTGAAGTTAAATCTTCTCTCGCTAATTTAAAATAGAAAAAGATTCAAATAACAAAATCTTTGATTTCAACAATTTCAACAAACTCTACCACCTTTAAATTTGTTCAAAGGCAAAGGGGAACTCTATGAGACGAAGAGAATAAGACCATCAAATTGTTACTCTTTCCATTTCATAATAATTGCAATATCTTTTCTTTTATGTCGGTTTAATAATTATATTTAATACTTTTTTTAAAATTATTCTAGATCCACTGCTATATTATTCCTTTATTTCTCCGATTAACTCCACCTACACTCTTTCAAAAAAAAAAAAAACCAAAAAAAATCTACCTACACAAATATTGTACAAGTACAAAATTTCTCTCACACTAACAATTAAACATATCATCACTAACTACTTCCTCTGTTTTTTTTTTAATTTGACACATGTCTTTATTACGTTTGCAAACGCACAAAACTAACGATTAATATCTCTAATCATCAATCTTGTAATAATATAATTAGTGAATATTAATACAATTTACATCGAGATTTCACATGCATTTTTTCGCAAATTCTTGATTAAGGTGGACTTTTATTAAGTTATTGTGAAACAGGTTAAAGTTATCATAAAAATATTTAAAATTACCCTTTTTTTTAAGGGGAAGAATAATATCATTAAATAAAAGCCATACGACATCTACAATAATAAGGATCTGTAAACCACAAATTTAGAGAAAATATCATAACTTTTACAATCAAAATCATAACTAATTTGCATATTTGGCATAGCTCATACTTCACCGCTTCAAGCTTGACGCGAGCAATGATTTTCGATGTCTTTGCATCTTTCCAAGTTGAGACCTCCGCAATCTGCGCTGATGTTTTGATCGACCGGTTGATGACAAATTCCAGACCCATATGAATCCAAATCACCTTCCCAATTGTTATAAGAACCCTAAAAATAAAATTCTCATTCATAGATGAGTATCAAAATCCCAGAAAATTGGGACAGACTCTCACAGATGGAGAGAACAAAACAAAACAAATAACTCAAAACGTAAAACAAAACAAAAAACTAAATTGAATTAAAGAAAAAGGGTCGGAAATAGTCTAATTTACTATTTCCGACCTAAACGGCCAAGAAAGTTAAAACCCTAGAAGAGAGAGGAGAGAGAAGAGAGAAAAAAAATATAAAGTTAATTTTTACTGATTAAAGTGTGCACAATTTAAAAAAAAATTACCCTTTTATACTACAGAAGTTACCATTTTGTATACTAGTAACAAAAATTTTACCCTTCAAAAATATTTATAATGTACTACATATTTACATCAATCATATTAGCCCTCAAACACATGTATATAATAGAAGTTACACATTAAAATACAATAAAACTAAAAAAAAAAAAAAGATATCCTTAACGGTGTTAAAGTTATCAAAAAAATTGTTAAAGTTACCCTTTAATTATTCACGGTCTTACAATAAAATATAATAATTTATACGAATTATTATAAAATTCACCTTTAAGTCTTCACCGTATTATTCACTTAAAACTTTTGCAACCCCTAGTGTTGCGATTATACAAGTATATGACTATATGGTATACGCTCAATCTAAATAATCAAGGATATATACACTATATGTCACCCCTCTCTTCCACCAAGATTTGAACTTGGGTCCATTAGAAAATAAATAAAAAAAAATACCATCTTTGCTATCTAATATTTTTACTTATTTATTATTCTTAAATATAGTTAATGTAGGCTACGAGTATATATATATACATATATATATATATATATATACATATATATATATATATATATATAAAAGTACGGAATAAATTATTACAAAAAAAAATCAATAAAAGTACGGAATAAATTGTTACAAAAAAAAACAATAAAAGTACACAATATTTAAGATTATTGAAAACTATAATACGAAATAAATAATAATTAACATATAGACCCGGGGCCCGAACTAAACTTATTAATATATTAAATTAATGTTTTGAATTTAAAAGTCCATGAACATTTATGATATATCAACATTTAATTTGACGGGATGTATCACATGTATATCATGTACTCATTTACGAATATCAATCAAATTAAAATGAAGTTTGTACAAATATGCTCATGCTAATCCACCACAACTTACCAAAGATAAACTTAACCTAAATACTAAACATCAACATTCATATTTATCATAATAAATTCATAATAGAGTTGTTACTCCTAGATGTCTTACTAATCGAAGGTGGGCACAATGAGACACTATTGTAGGTCATTTTTGTCATGGAGCCATTAATCCAATTATTCATGGTTGTTGTGATGTGGTTTGTGATTGAATTATTGTCTTATAATTTGTCACGTTGATTAAACAACTCTTATTCCTTATCCATCTTCTTATAACTTTAGTAAACAGTACACCAATAGTTATATATTTCTTTTGTCTCAATTTAAAATGAAACACAATCAATATACCTTATCTCTTTAATTTTATGATTGTCGGATTTAACTTTTTACAGCGTATTCGATGCACATATTTTAACATCAACATCATTAACTATACACAATAGTGCATTCGTATTTGAATCATTAACAACATGCGTTCACTCTTATTTTTGATAAGTATATTATCGCCCGTAGTTCAATTTTTATGAGATTGTGAGTCAAATCCATTGAAAAAAATATTCAGCTCCTAATACAGTCATTATTTTTTGTCAAATTCAACTTAAATATGATGCTATAATACTTTAAATATGAGTACAACGTAATCATCAATCGTAATCGTAATCATCAACGTAATTATTCACGTTAATTTGTCATTACTCCCTTGACCTCATAAAGATTGTTGTGGGTCGTGTTTGGTTGTGTCTTGTGCCAAACCTTCGTGCTTTGGGGTTAGTTAGACCCAGCCTACGAACTAACAGCCATGCCAAAATTTTCAAAAGGTTGACCCATACACGATCGAAGCCCGCATGCTATTATGTTATGTTGTGCTTGCGTGACTAAGCCTATTTTCACTAATTTTAGTGTATTTTGTCGTGTAGGATCATGTCTAGTCGTGCTTCTCCTAAATAGAGAAGGAGACCCGACCCACAATCCGACAAGCATAGTAACGTATCATGTTGCTCTTTGTACTCATGTCATGTCGTGCTTTTTTTTGGATGTTGGGCCATGGCTTAGGTCAATTTGGGTTATTCAGCCCACTACCTCTTTACTTCCTTAATCTATTATATTGTCTCAAAAGGAAAAATTAATTTTTTTTTTTGAAAAATGTGCAAAAATTTACACATGGTAATCTAGATAGATTCGTCAATTCGTAGATGAAGAGAACGAAAGGGAAAAAAAATAATAAGGGACAGAGAGAATATGACGAGTACAATATTAATTTAGCTGGTGTTTGGTATTTTAACATGCTTTGCTTACCATTGAATTTCGTTGAACTATCGAATAGTTAAATAGTCCTCCACGGCTCCACTCCCTTAGCCAACCACTGTACTCCACTACGTATTCCATATCCATTCTCATTTCTCACATCATAAATCGACACAAACATAGATATTTTGGCCAAATTTGTTTGATTACGAAATACTATTATTGGGTATTTTCTTATTTGTTAGCATTTTTTGGATAGAATGATGATGAATGAATTATTTGGAGGATTGCCAAAATGGAAGATTTTGAGCTTAATCTCAATGGTTGCTTTAAGCTTGTTGTTGGCTTCAGCTGTGATAAGAACCCAAAATTCCCAGATTATCAATTCCACCATCACTTCAACTTCAGATCATCTTCTTTCCCAATTTATCAATTTTTGGTGGCAACCTGATCAATCTGGTAACCACCATGTTTGGCCGGTAAAACCCACTTACAAAGTCAACACTTTTTTGCTTTTAAATTAGTGAATTGGTTTAAATTAATTGAATTTATATGCCCTTTTAACACTTTTATGTTAATTTTGTTGTGGATACCCAAAATATTGAATCATGTGGTAATGTATTTGTTATGGAACAGAAAGTGCCCAGAAAAGGGTTTTTGATTGGGTTGCAGGTTTTTGTTTTTTGTTTATTTTTTCTTTGGTGGCCTGGTCCGTCAATGATGTAAACGGGATTTGATACCGTGTAATAGTAAACACCCTTACCCCTAAGACTTTACTAGCTATGCTAGTAGACATCCACAGTTGGGTTGCACAATAGTTGTGCTTAACTGATTTGTTTTTTGTAACATTTTTAGTATGTTGGTTTAATATGAATAGTTTTGTAAATATTTTGTGCATTAACTTTTATGAATATTGACTTTGCAAGTAATATTGTATTATCATGGCCTCATGGGTTCATACATTACAGGAATTTAAATTTGGGTGGCAAATTGTTGTGGGGTCTTTTATTGGATTTTGTGGAGCAGCATTTGGAAGTGTTGGTGGTGTTGGAGGTGGTGGGATATTTGTGCCAATGCTTAGTCTTGTTATTGGGTTTGATCCAAAATCTGCAACTGCTATATCCAAATGTAAGGGTTTAACCTTGTTATATTGTCTGTCAGATTGTGTGAAGAAGTAAGACTATATTGCTTTGTCAGTTAGTTTGTTGATGATTAACAAAATGTCAAAACGGAATTATCCAGAATATTTGGAAATGTTCTATGGAATCTTGGTTGGATTATTATGAATTTTGACTGTTTTTGTATGATGGAATATCAGGCTGGAATTTTCTGTTTACCCCTTTCTGTATTTACAGTGTTTCATTTTATCTTGTTTGATAATATGGTAAGAAATATTGTGGTAGTTGAATATGATTGTTAGAGTGATATTGTTTGATCTTCAGGTATGATAACGGGTGCTGCAGCTTCAACTGTGTACTACTATCTGAATCTAAGGCATCCAACACTTGATATGCCAATCATCGATTATGATTTAGCTCTACTTTTCCAGCCTATGCTCTTGCTGGGAATAAGTATTGGTGTTACTTTTAATGTGATATTTGCTGAATGGATGGTCACAGTCTTGCTGATCATTATTTTCGTAGGTAATTTATTGGTGCTGCTAGTTAATTTCATGTATTTTTTTTGCTGATAGCATGACAGCCTAATCTGAGCTGACTTTCTATAGGCACATCTATCAAGGCACTCTTTAAAGGCGTTGAAACTTGGAGAAAGGAAACGTTGATGAAACAGGTGATTGGACCATTAAAGTGTTTGTGCAGATACTGATATTCATTATATTCTAGCTGTGTAACTTAGTAGCCAGATCCATAATTCAGAGTTCATGTTAAATGTTCACGAGTTCTTAATTGTAATATCCAATTTTGATTTTTTTTATGACGTGTCAACTGGAAAGAGTGTTGAGAAAAATAAAAATACTCTTTCAGTAATTTTGCTTAAATTTTCTCCCTAGAAAGATAAGTTTCAGGAAAATTCGGGTCTGACAAGGGCTTTAAGGCTTCAATCACTTTACAACTTACAATAAGTCTTAATTCGTTCAGGTTAATTCAGATAAGTTCGAATAGGTTCACACAAGTTTTGATGAAGGGTAATGCAATGAAGTCTTATTTAAGCCTTCGTTATTATTAATTAAGTTGCAATGTCCCCCCTAAATCTTAGTTGCATTTGTTTTCAGGAAGCTATGAGGTATTTGGCATCAAATGGTGAGTTCATATACGTCTTAACTAAAGGCATTCTAAGGCTCTTTTGATTCAATATCTTGGATATTCATCTTTTTTTATGATATTGGGAGCAGGTGTTAGTGGTGGAGTGGAGTATAAGCCCCTTCCTGATTTCCCAGACAAGGAGGGTGAAGAAACAAAAGTGAGTAATTTCTAACTATTTGAGATTTTTACCTAATTCAAGATTGTTATTTTTTATAACCGAAGATGTGATTGATATAGGTTTCTGCCGTAAAAAATGTTTGCTGGAGGGAACTTGGTCTGCTTGTGTTTGTTTGGCTGTCATTTCTTGTCCTGCAGATTGTTAAGGTCCTTTTATCTTCCAGATCTATCTTTTATACTGTCTTTCAGTAATTTGGCAGGAAGGAGTTTTCAAGCAGACTAGCAGAGTTTCTGGCTTGCTGGTCTGCCTATGGTCCTCTAAATTTTATAGTATATCTAATTACTTTTCTACAAATAAACTGAACAGGAAACTACGGCTACTTGTTCAACAGCCTATTGGGTTTTGAGCTTGTTGCAGGTATTGTTTATGCATCCAATCAACTATTCTCCTCTTGTTTACTATGTATGACGAGCTTTTTGATCCTTCTTTTTCTCTGTGGAGAATATTAAATGATCATTTTTGTGTTCCAGGTACCTGTTGCTGTTGGTGTATCCTTATATGAAGCAGTCAGCCTGTACAATGGACGAAGAATAATCTCATCCAAAGGAAATGCATCCACTATGTGGAAAGTCCACCACCTCGTCATGTATTGTTGTTATGGGATTTTGGCTGGTATAGCTGGTGGATTGCTTGGCCTTGGTGGTGGATTTATTTTGGGTCCCTTGTTCTTGGAGCTGGGAATCCCTCCTCAGGTGAGACTTTTGCTTGTATAAAATTTAACAGTCCTTTTTAATTCTATATTCCAGTGTAAGAGGTTGAGATTCTTATGAGATATTTCATGGAAGACTAAAGATGCTATTGTGACAATTAAAAGAAGTTGAACTCTGTTGCCTTAGTGATATGGTATGACTCCTTTCACCTCAAACTAGTGAATGAATTGCTCTTATACTGGATCTTTTCATGACTAAACATTCATTTGTGAATAATTTACATGCTGGCCGATTAAGTTAGCTTTTGAAACGAGTATTCAATATTGATGAAGAACTGGGATGGTTATTCACACTAAGCAATCAGTCGTAAACAAGTACTTGGATATCTACCTATATCTTTCAAGTATCTTGCAAAAATTGATGTGATTGATCTTTAGCAGAAGTTGACTCAAAGTTTGTCTTATAGCTCTACAAGCATCCATAAATTACTAGTCAGTATCGCTAAGTGGAAATCATAATCTTTGATATGTTCTGCAGGTTTCAAGTGCTACTGCTACCTTTGCAATGGCTTTTTCTGCATCTATGTCTGTTATAGAGTACTACCTTCTTAAACGTTTTCCTGTCCCTTATGGTAAGCAATCACCTATTAGTCTGTTTTATCCAAAATACACAAGGTCTTTTAAAAAATACTGATCTTTGAAGTCCTTAATGATTATTATATGTCTATGTTATTTTCCTTGCATTGATTTCTATTTTTTTCTGCATACTAACAAGTTTTATCTGATTGTACTTGCAGCACTTTACTTTATGGCTGTGGCAACTGTTGCTGCCTTTGTTGGACAACATGCTGTCAGAAAGTTGATAATTATTATGGGGAGGGCATCCTTCATAATCTTCATTCTAGCTTTCACAATCTTCATCAGCGCCGTCTCACTAGGTGAGCTCTATACATGCTTATTTTTCCCTTATGATGCTCTAAGGCTTTATTCTTTTCACCCTGTTAAGTTTAGAAAAGGGCCAGTAAGTTCATGTAAAGAAAACTAGCTCAACGAGACCAATAGGTGGTAGCGCAATCCACTACTAAACAGAGGTAAGTGTAATAGACTTAGAAGGAAAATTAAGTTTGGACTAAGGCTCACAAAGTTCTTATAAAAGTGTTTCTCAGGTGAAGATACTAGTTTTGTATATGCATGTTACGGTAAGAACTCAGAAACAGGAAATCTGAAGTAACTTCCATCATTGATATTGCTCTATTTATATTTTTTAGGTGGTGTTGGCATTTCAAACATAGTTGGAAAGATTCAACGACATGAGTTCATGGGATTTGAGGATCTTTGCAAGTACAAGGCATAAGGCTTGTAAGCCTTTATTATTTCTCGGGGATACAATGCCCCGTGCTGTTATAATCAGTTACACATTTTATATAACAGTATTGTGTATTATCTTAGAGCAACGTTTCTACCTTGTATTTGCAAAAGCACCGATTCTTTATGTACAGATTTTATTGTATGTAGTATTTTATTTTGAAGAACAAAATGTTGAAAAGCTCTCTTACGAATAGCTCCTTGTAATAACACCAGATCCACATTAACTGATGAGCAATTCTGTCCTCTTACTTTCAGACTTTCAGTTTTAACTATGCTTATTCTAATGGATTATACGCGAACATCTTTGTTCTCCTTGGTCTGTACTTTGTACAAGCAAGAGTCAATTAAAGACAACTTAAGGTTTTATAAAGATACTAACATAATTATTTTTTTCCCCTGTATTTGCACTAGAATCATTTTGGAAAACTTTTGTCCATCTTCTCATACAAATCCTACTTTTGAATTATTTAGAATAAGCACAACTTTTGGGGTCATGTTCTCGTAATAATTCTCCAAGTTGGCTAATGCTTACAATTTTAGATTCCTTATTAATATGCAAATAGCCAATTTGACTTCGCATATCATAATGATCATACTTAACAACTTGTCTCGTGTAGGACACTTAACAACTTAGAGCATCACACGTGCGTTTAACTATTCAATTTTTAAAAGACGGTTTACTCACTACACATTGCTTTACTTTAACCAATGATCCTCGTTTAATGTCGTTCACATTAACCAAAAAAAAAAAACTCACATACGTGGATCCATGGTCAAGACGCTTTACAATGACCTCGACTATTTAAGCATCATGGACTTTCATATTTTGATTTATACAATCACATTCCTTATATACAGAGTACAAACATAACACATGAAAATGCAATATGCTCTTTTATTTTAAACGATTAATATTTGATTATTCGTATTATTATGTAATTTAAAACAACAACCCGAAAATCCGAAATATCGTAGAAAGGCAATCTTTTCAAACAAAAGAGAGAAAACACGGGGAATAAAGAAAAACGTACGCAAAACGGATTCCTGGGGTTGTGCCTATTTTACCTGTAAAATAGTTTGTTTCGAAAATTTTCCCTTTTATTAATTTTACATTCAACTGTCTCTCTTCTTCTCTCTCCTACCTCTGTGCGATTATTGAGAAAGAGAGGAGAGAGAAAGAGAGAGAGAATCATCCATCGAAGAAGATGGTGTTCTACTTTAAGGCCCGACCCGAAGCTGGGGATTACACTATCTTCATGGGTCTTGATAAGTTCGAGAATGAAGAACTCATCAAATACGGCTTTCCTGAAGATATTTGGTACCTTTCTAATCTCATTCAATTGTTAATTATAATGTTTTTTTCTGGGTTTTTTCAGAAATTTGATTGATGGGTTTTGTTGGAATTGGATTATATGATTTGAAATTCTGAATTTTGTGATTTATTCAATGCCCTGACTGTTCAATTTCTTGTCAATTTAGGGTTTTTCTCGTACTTGTCTGCTGTAGTTATGAAATGGGTTTGATTTGGATTAGGTTTTAATGGGAAATTGAGTAACATAATTTACCATTACATTCTGCAAATTTTTTGTTGGAATTTCTTTGATTTGAGTGAGGAATTGTCGATTGAACGTGTTGTTTTCTTTGGAAGCTTTGCTCATCGATAGGAAGATGTTAATTAGAATTTGTTATCGTAAATTTGGTCAATACGCGCTACGTGATGCCTTAATGACTTAATGTAAATGAAAATTTATGTTTCATGGAAGAGTGTGTTTTGTGTAGTTGCTGTATCTTGATGTTTAATTTGCTTCATTACCATTTGAAGAAGTCAGTGGAAGAATAGATTGAGTGATTAGTTAGATGAGTGAAATGAATTATCTTTACATGCTGATCACGTAGTGTTGAATGAAAAGTTGTACGATTGTACCATAGCTAAGTGCAAATTGATCTGACATCAATATGAGTTTTTCCTGGATCAGAGATAATATATTGATTATTTTATATGCTTGGAGATTATAAGTAATTCAATAGGCCTCCAAAGTCATGGAGTATTTGGTTGTCCATTGTCTTCATACCAACTACCTTTCTTTCATCAGGAGGAGCTTAGTTAGCCTAAGAAAATGAGATGGTGGGAGAGAAGATTGTATGTTATCGGCAATCCTCCTGTTTAAAGCTTTATGTTCAATAAATATTCCTACCTGTAGAGTTTCGCATTTCCCAGGGCAACTTTGACGTATCATTAATTATCTACAAGTATAAGTTATGGAAGTTGATATCTTGAAAGAAGTATAGAGAAGAATCCAAAAATTATTTCCCTTGACTATATTTTTTTTCGTATGTATGAAGCATAGAAAAGGGGAGTGGTGTACAAGTCCAAATGTAGCTATATTATGGAATGGAGGAATCTTCTCTTTTTTTTTTTCCTTTATGGGCAAGATTGATGGATACATTTTCCACGCTTTGGTTCAAGTTTTCAGGTAGAACAACAGAATTAGATGTCAAAGTTGAATATCAAGTTTTTTTGTTTATGAAAATATAAATTAGGTGCCAATATTAGTTTGTTATGGGGGCTAAATCTGATTTGTGGAGGATTTTGCATGAATATTCACTTGTGTGCACCAGCATGAATACTTTTTTTGTACCAATTATCATCTATTACAAATTTAAGCACTCATACACTGTATAATTAGGTATGACAGAGGCGTGCCTGTGCTTTAGGATAATGGAGTACAATGCTTTTTTTTTTTTTTTTTTTTTTTTTAGCTAGGCTAATCGCATTAAAGAGGCACACTTGAACTGGACCTCTATCGCCTTAGTGCACCTTGATATTTTTTATATTACACTCATACATTTTACTGTTTGGTCAGCCTGGCCAATACAACTTCACCCACATTTCGGGTGATTTAGCCAAATTGCTGATTTTGTTTTTTCCAGGTTCCATGTGGACAAAATGTCTTCTGCCCATGTCTATGTTAGATTGAATAGAGGGCAGACAATGGATAGCATATCAGAAGGTCTGTTGGAGGACTGTGCTCAGCTTGTGAAAGCAAATTCCATCCAAGGCAAGTTCTGAATCCTTCATAATGTGTTTGTTCATCAATGAATAATTTATGTTGAACTGATCTTATTGGAGAAACTCCATAAGGCAGGAATATATTCTCCTTTCCAGCGGAGGGATTGTTATCAACCTAAATTTCTGTATGTTCCATAGTGTACAATATCACTATTGCTGCATCTCTCTGCATTGTTTCCTCCTCAATGTTGAGACTAGGATTGGAGTATGGGGTAGGGTATGCAGGGAATGACTTGTAAGAACTTTCTCCATGCAATTGCATAGAGGCTATCAATGCGGGAGCCTTAAGGCACATAGTAGCCACTAGCCAGCTACTTGTCAGCAATCAAGTATAGGACATGTTAGCAAGACAATAAGACATCTTACTAATACTTCATGATCCAATGTTTGCCCCCTAATTACTCTGGACATATAGGCTAAATTTTCTTTTGTGAGAAGACCAATATTTGTTTTTTCTTACAAAATTAGGTTTTTTTTTTAAAAAAAAAATATATATATCTAATATTTTTTGGCGAGAGTCATATTATTTATTCAAATTTCTTGATAACCCTTTTTAATATGGGAATCCCTTTAATTGTAGCCAATTTTCCTCTTTGTATGGAATAACTACCAATGAAATATTTGACTGATTTAAAAAAGCTGGTTGTCGGTGGGACTAAAAATTACGACGTAAAGGTGTCTTATTTTAGTATTTGCAATTATAGGTGTCAGTTAAAATAACGCTCCAAGTTGAAGGTGTTTTCAGTAACCCCAAAAAAGGGGGTTTCCTTTAGTGTTCAGTCAGGTGAACAGTACTAGGTCTAATTGGCCTGTTTGATTTTAATTTTTAAATACTAGTTTCTTGGAGTATGATGGTGAGGTTTTGATTTTCAAAAGTTTTTTGGTGCGTTTTGGCAAGTCAGGTAAGGCTGCTTCTCTGTGGACAGTTTTTCCTGGTTTGTTTGATCCTTGAACCAGTGAATTAAAAAAGCGGGCCTAGGCGCTGAGGCGCAAGGGGCGATAAGGGGTATGCACTTAGCTTGGTCCAGGCGATGCATTTTTGGTTAGGCGCACAAAAAGCGCATGAGGCGCACCTGAACCAAACTTCAGCCAATTTTTTTTTTTACTTGCCGTATAGTGCGCCTCACTTCAAAGAGGTGTGCCTAGGTGCTGCAGAACCCCTCTCGCTTCAGTGCGCCTTGAGCTTTTTTATACGTTGCCTTGAACCCCAATCACACCGGATGAACATGCTATGAACGGCTTACTCATCTGACTGGGCAGTGTAGTCCATTTTTTAAGCTAGTATCTTGTAATTAGACTACTGTATTGAGGTTTTGATTTTCAGAATTTCATTGGAGCATTTTACTGTAAGCTGCCTCAAATATGAGGATTTTGACTTTATTCTTGCATTTCACAACCTTTGCATCAACTGACTTGGGCGTTTTAAGCTATGGTTTGATGAGCTAATTTGTATGCTGACATTGGTTGCAATGGCAATGCCACAGGCAACAAGGTGAATAACATTGATGTTGTTTACACTCCCTGGGCCAACTTGAAGAAAACTGCTTCCATGGATGTTGGCCAAGTTGGTTTCCACAACTCAAAAATGGTAATTTCTCACCTTTATCTTCTTGAAGTTTATTGATCCTTTTCCCAATTAGGAGCTTCCCTTATCAAGCTATTGGTTTACAGATATTATTGATAAAAAATGGCGGTCTGATTATTGTCAATTCAGGTCCGCACTGTTCGTGTAGAAAAGAGAATAAATGAGGTCGTTAATAGGCTGAACCGAACAAAGGTGGAAAGGACACCAGATTTTAAAGGTAAACAATTTAAACATGTTGCCTTGTTATACTTGCACGGTCTCATTTTGGTAATGCTGCCTTTCTTCCCTTCACCCCCTTTTGTTTCTTTCTCAATCCTTTATTCTCTGTTTCTTTTGGGTAATAGTGCACTAATATGTGAATTATCTGCATGCAGCTGAGCGTGAAGCATATGGTGCTGCTGAAAAGGCAGAAAGAAAGGCTCAGCTGAGAGAAAAGGTGAGTCCAGCCTTACATTGTCGCTCTACTTTATTTACTAGCATGTAGGCTGTGGCTTTCTCTTGAGTTGTTTCTTGTTCATGATTAATATTTGATTAGTCACTGTTTTATTTAGATGATGGACAAATGTAATGGAACTGTGCTTTTGTATGGCCATAGTCAT